CCAAAAGGCCCACCGAAATTCTCGAGAACTCTTTGAAAGTGGCTCCATCATTTTTTATGAGATCAGATTCTAAAAGGGTGTCTTGCCAGGGCCCACAATACTACCAGCCCGAACTATAAAATCAGATACACATGTCACATAACACCCCCTCATTAGTTAGATCTGTCTGACTTAAGCTGGCTCTAACTCGATCAATACGCGGATGATAAGAGCTCTCTCTCTCTCCTCGCTCTCTCTCTTTCTTTCTCCTCTCTCTCTCTCTCTCCCTCTCTCTCTCTCTCTCTCTCTCTCTCTCTCTCTCTCTCTCTCTCTCTCTCTCTCTCTCTCTCTCTCTCTCTCTCTTTCTTTCTCTCTCTCTCTCTCTCTCTCTCTCTCTCTCTCTCTCTCTCTCTCTCTCTCTCTCTCTTTCTCCTCTCTCTCTCTCTCCCTTACTTACTCTCTCTCTCTCCTCTCTCTCCCTTAGTGTAAAGGCGGTGGACCGTGACTCTCTCATAATATAACATGGTGTTACATGACAGCGCTGAACTAAGCCGTGAATAGTGGCCCAGATGGCATGTCTCCGGGAATGTACGAATGTGTGTGTACTTTTAATACATGTGTGTGGTTTCAATTTCCGTAAAATATATTATGAGCGCGTCAGCGTTCATTTCACGCTCGGTGATTTTAAATGGGTGTACACTGTACCCAGTATACCTAACTCTCCTCTCTCTCTGTCGGGACGGTAATTACAGGTGTGTGCAACATCTTTTATTCATTAACTGGGTACTATTTGAGCGGGTCTCTCACATCTGTCATTCGCCCACGAAGAGTGCTAGTATTTTGAGCGAGTGCTATCAAGTGCAAATAGTATCGGTGCAGCCAGCAGCTGGAAGTGTTGTCAGGGAATCTTGAGTATATATTGTTGTATTGTTGGTGTGTGTGTAACACTAATAACAATTAACAATGGTGCTAAGCTGGCTGTGGTTGTTAACCATGAAATGTGTAGGAAGTAGGTACCAACCAGGTCATGTGTTAGCCACACTTTCTCTCTCTCTCTCTCTCTCTCTCTCTCTCTCTCTCTCTCTCTCTCTCTCTCTCTCTCTCTCTCTCTCTTTATCTCTCTTTATATCTTTCTCGCACTATATATATACTAGTCCCGACACACATACCACACTTACACACGCTGGTAAAGTTATGTAAATAACACCCTGATCCAGGAGGATAATGTCAACAATAACATGGAACATTGTTGTTCTGCTGTAGAGAGAAGAAAGGGGAGGTTTTGTTTCTCAATATCTAGTCAGAGCCACCTCCTCCTCTACAAAAGTTAGGGACCTATATATTATAAGCACTGGCATTACAGTTTACTGTACTTACAGCACTTACCATGTCAACACATAATATACACTCGCACAGATTTTAGCTTTGATCTCACTCATGTATGAAGATGTCACGTTAAATGGCCGGTGTAGGCCACGAGGCCGGATATATCTACAACTATGAGATATTGTCATATTGTATAAACTATAATTGTACATGTAAAATGTAGATTGTAGATTGTACACATGTGATGAGTTTTGGGCACGTGACCAAAAGATTGGGCTGACAATAGTGTGGTGGGTGGATTTAATTGCGGATGATTTCAGTGCAAATGACACGGAGACAGGCAACTGTCATGTTGTGTGAAGTGATTGTTCATCCCGACAGGCAAGTTTAATTTAGATCGAATCATTTCAAATACAGAACTGGAAGTCTGTAGTTAGATCCGATCAAATATTTGGCGTCCTTCCGATGAGATTTGACATTTAAAATGTAAAGAGTTATTTGAAAGTGCTCTACCCGTGCCAGTGCCTGCCTAGCCCCATTCACTTATATAGGCATAACTTATAATAGGTCGGGAATTATATTAATGTTTTAAAGTTCGTATTACAGCTCCAGCGAACGGCAGGCTTTGTAAACGAAATCTGCGAGACCAATTTTGTCTTGTTACACAGCCAGAGGATATTGTTGTATTATAATTTACAGTAATAATGATAATGTGATGGCAATATAGGCAGACGTATCAGTGTCGTTAACCGGGGAGAAGAATTACCTTCTGCGGTGTTGTGAGGCTATTTTAACTGCCAAATATAAGTTTTTATGTGATTACATAATTATTTTTCGGGTTATTATAGTATGTGTCCGTCTTAATAACACGGTAAAGTGTAAATACATATTCAAAATATTTCAAATTTGTAAATTTCTGTGCTGCGACTATCCGTGATGAATTTGAGGCTGGTATCCGTGATAATAGTTGCGAGGTGTGGAATAATACGAATAGTTATCAGACTTATAACATTCCATATTTGAGTTATGATGCGCCCAAAAATGTGTGAACCTGGCGTGGTGCTGGCTGGTGTGGAGTTCTAATTTTGGGATCAAATCATTGCCAAGTTGTCGATAAAATAATTGTATGACCCCCATCCTGCCATAAAATAATATTTAATCCATGTCACTACCATTGTCACTACCACTGTCACTGTCACCGCCACTGTCACCGCCACTGTCCCGTCCGTTCGTGCTCACTTCTTATCTTCTCACGCCATCAGATATCAATTTAGTTCGATTGCTTTTATACTTGCTAACAAACTTAACTTACTTGAACAAACTTAACCAGTACCGCTTCAACGCTTTCCAGATAATTCGACATGTTAAACAACACAAGTTTATTCGGCTATTATCAGGTAGAATCAATAAACCTAAGCTCTACTATTACAACAAGAATTAGAATAATTCTTCATGTCGCGCTGTAACGTTATCGACATCGTCACAATCTTCTTCATTATACAATATATGGATGACTTTATATAAACGATATTATATGATTATATAGACAATATTATGATATAAACTATATTATATATTTTATATATTAATTTAAAACTATATAATATTATATAAAACTCTTGACACGGTCCCTCATCACCGTAACCATTCGATTAACCCAGGTAACCTCACTGAATTCCACAAATATGTGCAAATATACCGTGAAGACTGCATTAGCAACGTTTATTCATACCCTTATGGCTAGTTGTTCATTTTTAAAATGTCTGTAATTTTCTAAATTTTAAAACTCAACTGGGAATATTGCCGCCGGAATTTTAGTTGGCTCATATCTCTGTTAGCGCGGGGAAAACCTTCAGCTGTTGCTGCTGCTGACATTCTCCGGCTCTTATTTGAATAGTCACGTATTCGGTTAAACGTGTTAAAAATAACACATTGAAATTATAAAGTACTGCCAGGCCAGTCACGCTTATCTGAGTATAATTAATATTTCGTGATGTTCTCGCCGGAAATCAGCATGACATTAAATCATCGATTACATTGCATCACACTGAACATTGGACTCCCCCCGATATAATGAATAGCTCTCGTTAACTCACAGCAACAATACAAATGTCTCCCTTACCTTGACTTGTACTTGAGAACTGATAAACTGCCTAATTACACGCATGAGGGAGCAAGGATTTGATGGCCGGGTGTCCTGTGTCAACATTCTGAAACCAGGGTCTTTAGTTACAGCAGAATGTAATGCTCAATTTTAAAAGTGTTAAATATTTTACATATTTTGGGCTTGCGAGCTCCGCTCTCTCCCCCCTTGGCTCGATCGTCTCGCGGGGTCCGAGGGCTAGCTCACGTTTTCACGGTAATGATATTAGAATTATTATTTGCAGGAACGATTCTTATTTTCTCACTCTCTCTCAACCCTCTCAAGTCGAATTATCTAAAAGAACTGAAAATTGAGAAGCAATATAAGGGTACGTTCAGTCACATGAACACAGTATCGATTCTTATCTGCTCGGATCAATAATTTATCTTGCCGCCCAAATTACCGTAACCGTAATTGATAGTATCGAATGAAAGGAGGCAGTGGCACGTGTCGCTAGGCGTTTCTCTTTGATACATTACGAAAATGACAGACTGCCAGGTAATTTCTCCGCTTCATCGCCTCTGTTTCTCTTCTTTACGGGCTCAATTCCGGGCTTTCAGAAACTCTCGATCTTCCTAATTATTTGCGCTTTTTCACGGGCCGTTGAGCGGCATATCAAATAACTATCCTCGACTTCTGAAGGGCGATGGTACGTTTAAATATCTGTCATCGGTACTCTCTAATACATATATTTATACTGTCAGGTTTTCTGTGCGCAAGTTATCACCAAAAGTACTGAGGTCAAGTTGTAGGGTTTCTAGTGTGTCTAGTGAGGGCTGTGGGCCGCTCAGTGCACGGATTAGAGAGAATGTGTTACAATCCACAGATCTTGGTCTGTGTTCCGGTCAGTTGCACCTGCTCTAATTACATATGACTACTGATCTTCTATACGGGTATCTATTGTGCCTGACCGTAATGAGCAACAGGTCATTGGCTAATAGTCACAGAGTGCATAACAAGACAAGGTCTACATAAAATGATGACAACTTTTTGTGCGCGCTGTATGAAAAGTACCCTTTTTCCTCAGTGACTGTGGCGCGCGCAGGTGCGCGCGTGTATATTATCACATGGCTCAGCTCATTGCGTTCACTATCAAACAAAACCTTGTAGATTTAATCGAGAAAGAAATGTAAATTATACTTCCCAACGATACACCTATTATCAATTTCAGTGTGCAGTGGAATATTCTCATTTTACAATTAGCAAAGTGACAAATTCCATGTGTTCTCCGTGTGTAGGTGGCGATTCACAAACGCATTTGTCAAAATGCCAATTTAGATATCAGCCAGGGCCGATCCACAAGTTACGGCTTCATTTATTACTGGTAATCTAATTGAGGGACGTGAAACTTACAAACAAACGGAGGAATAACCATAAGGCTAATCTTTGCGGTGTTAATTTCTGTATTAAATGTACCGGGGTGTAAGTATTAACACTTCACTTTTTCCAGTTGGAAGAAACCCCCTCAATAGTCGTCAAAATATGTGACATTTTTCGTATAACCATTCTTTCGATACTATTTCCAGCAAATTTAACGACGGTAATACTTCAGAAATGCGGGGGAAAAGAAGCGACGAGACAAACTGAATACCTATATCAGCGAGCTGAGCAGCATGGTCCCCAGCTGCAGGATGCCACAGTCCCAAAGGAAACTTGACAAAAGCACCATCCTCAAGCTGACTGTTTCCTACATGAAGTTACACGCAGATCTCCTGCCAGATACGTTAGATGACAGTACGATGAGCTGGAAACCTTCGTTTCTGTCTAATGAGGAACTCGGTCAGCTTATGTTAGAGGTAGGCCACAAATCGCCACACACTACCTTACCTATAGTCAGCAAACCGTGACCTTGCATAATATGTTTGATAATATATTTCTAATTAATACATTTCAATAGAATGTGCATATTATATCAGTAGCCGCATTTTTCCTCAATGTTTACTGGAATGTTTACTTAGTTGCCTTGTTCACAATTCCAAGGTTCGCTACACTGAATACCGGATACGGTTCAATGATTTTCACTCTAATCGTCCCTTTTTCAGGCTCTGGACGGTTTTTTATTTGTCATCTGGAGTACCGGAAGAACAATATACGTATCCGAGAGTATAACGCCACTGCTTGGCCACTTGCAGCAGGATTTGCTAGGAAAGAACTTTCTGGAGCTTATTCACCCTGAAGACATGTCGATGGTTCGAGAAAGAATGTTTCCCGTAAGTGGTCACTAGTTACCTTCCACATGCCTACTTACAACTGACTTATGACCTTGGAAAATTTGTTATGAAATGATATTGTGTAGGATGTACTTTACAGGTATTTATTTTGCGATTAGAAATATAATATGCGTCTGCTATTTCTTAAGTTGAGTACTTGATATCACGGCTAACGTACCTGTCTGTCCCAGGCACAATCAGAAAATGGCTACATAGAGGAGCTGGGAACCCCCTCCCCACCGCCGGTCAACTCACCCAGCTCCACCTCCTCCGATACGCCCAGCTATCTGCGGAGGAACTTCGTGGCGCGAATGCGCCGTGGCGGCTTCTCGTCTAAAACAGAATACGAGATGGTGAGCTGCTCGGGACACTTGAGACGGTGGAATGAAGTTACCCGGAACTCTCCTATGGAGACTGTGGAGATGCTCCCATTAGATGGGTTCTGTTTGGTGGGAGTCGGCAGATTGCAGTGTACCCAGACTATTAGGGAGATGACTCCTACTATCCCCACACTTAATGAGTGGACGTCTCAACACAGTATGGATGCTAAATATATCCACATCGACCAGAAGTAAGTTTCTTAACATTTTGGTGACACAATTCTGGTGATAAAGATTATTTGTGATTTACGGGATCTTAATAATTTATTTATGCCGTACTATGAAATAGGCTGGACTAACGATTATCTAAGCGTAAAAATAGACGGTCACAGTTAAGTTTAATGATTGAAAAAACGAGAATAAATCGCCTGTAAAACGTTCAGATGGGGAGTGGGGGTAGGGCCAATGGCATAAATGGCATAAATGGAGAATTACGTAAGGTTTTTTCCATTTTATCCATAGAAAAAGTCTCAATTTTATGCCATTTTATGCCATATAAAAACCTAAAAATTAAAAAAACCCAATTTTTTACCAAATTTTGACCTAGGACGAAATGATTTAAACACAATATTCATCTTAGAATCTAAATATCATATCGAACACCAAAAAGGACAATTTTTGCCCTTTTATCGTATCTCGACCTTCAACAATTTTCCAGCTCGAACACAAATTGTAAAATAATTTGTTTTTTAAATATCATATATTTGGTACCAAACGTTTTGCCTTTCCAAGCTGAAAACAATCCTGTAAAAATATTTCCGAGATTTTAAAGTTTCCATTTTTTTCTATCCGGACCTACCCTTCGATATACGATTTTGGACTCGAGGGTTCCCTCTTGTAATTCGATCCCGAAAGGCAGCCCTCCCCTTTGCAGTGCGAGCTCGGAAGCGCGGGAGCCCTGCCTTTAGAGGTACGTATCGAGGTTGACTCGGAACGACAATTTTCTAAGTCAAAATCTTTTCAAAGTTTTTCTGGAAACTACTTTTGTTCACGATTCAAGCTACCCTGATCATTATTAGCCAAAAATATTTTTTCGATTTTCGAAGTCCGGACATACCTTTCAATGTACAATTTTGGACTCGAGGGTTCCCTCTTGTAATGTGATATCGGAAGGCAAGCCTCCCCTTTGCAGTGCGAGCAGAGGTACTCATCGAGGATGACTCAGACCGAAAATTGTCTAGAAGTCCAACATTTTTGTCTAAGTCAAAAGTTTTCTAAGTCAAAATTTTTAAAATTTTTCCTGGAAACCACTTTTCTCCAGTGTTCATATTACTCTGATCATTATGAGCTGGGACCTAGCCCTCGAGAATTTTTCCTGAAAATTAATGAAATTTCTGACTAATATCCGGCAAGGGTTTTTCCATTTTCTCCATAGAAAAAGTCTCCATTTTATGCCATCTTATGCCATTGCCCCCCCCCCCCCCCCCGGCCCCCCGATCCTCTACCATGATTTGAAGTAAGACTCCAGTAATATAATTATACAATATAATCCAGTAATATAATCATTACCACGAATATATAATAGTACTGTAATTTTAGTTTATACCCCTGTCCCCTGACTTTATACTATTTTGTAGAAGAAACTCCCTCTTTTATCGCTATTTCTAGACGATACGCCGTTTTTAGTTAGCACTTATGCCTTATAATACTAATGTAATTGTAGTAAATTTTAATAATCCCGGTTCCATGTGGGAGTTGGCGCCACTGTCATTGACATTGTTGAACATTTTAGGACACAATAAAATGAATGGATTGAAATTTAAAAGATAACTGAAATGATTGAACACATCGAATTGAAAAATTCAGTTGAAACAAATATGAAAATATATAACAATATATAACAGATCAGCAAATAACAGTAAAACAAACAGAAAAACAAACATAAAAACACAGTAAAACAAACAGAAAAAAATGGTCAATACATTAATCAGTAAAAACAACAAAATTGAAACAAAAAATCAGACTAATTCATATTTATTCCATTACCATTGTCCTGGCTCCTCAGTCCTTACATTTCATGACTCTTAGTAAGTAACTCTTACGCGTAAGTCTTCTTCTTTAGACAAATGTGTGTTCATGTTGGCTTACTGGGGGGATTGTTTTTGTCCGACAGTTGCTACTTCCACCGGCTGATCCTCCAGTCCTCGTCTCGGAAGCTTCACCTGACAATTTGAGATTGTATTAAAAGTACTCAACAATCAACAATCATTAATAAATAACGTGTCTGCACTCTGCAAAAAAAAAGAAGCGATATTCCAGTGTTACAACATGATGAAGAAAAGTAATTTAATACCCTTAAAGTTGAATAACTTGGTTTTCAGCCAGCGTCTGAAACTCCTCACTGTTAAAGTGTACACGAAGAAATTTGTGATGATATTTAGATATACAAGGTTGCTAGCAACCCTGTAATAGTAAATGTAGAACTGCTCCGATCCAACGGTCTCCTCTCTAGCCAGGTCGATAAGGTAGACGGTGCAGTAGATTGCAAAGGGTAAATAAGAGAGGGTGTAGATTGTGGCAGTAATAATTACTGTGATGAGCCCTTGTCGACGTAGTCCTCTGTTCATCTTTTTAGCCCCTTTTCTCGCCTCTCCTAGTAAGAGTAACGTGGCAATGTTGGAGATAAGGTTTGGGACTAGAAGCGCCAGCTGTGTTGTTACAAGTAGGAGCAGCTTGCCTATCTCGGAGGTGTACTGGTACATGCATTGGTGGATCCTGTGGTCGAAGGAAACCCCTTCCTTGTCAACTAAGATATGCAAAGCAGGGAGAAGATGGGAAGCCATCCAAATAACTGCACAGAATCTGTGAGTAAAGCGTCCGGACCATGACGCGGATTTCAGAGGGAATTTTAGGAGGATTAGCTTGCTGACTGACATGGCACAGATAAGGTTTACACTCACTATAACACCCTGATAAGTTGTCCAGAATGCCATGTAACAGAAGTATCTGTTGATATTCCTGTTTGTGATGAGTGAAACAACATTCACCAGCGTGTAGGTAGTTGAATACAGGTCACACAGGGCGACATGCTGGATAATGGTCACTATGACCTTGTGAAGTTTGAATGCTTTGTACTTGACTGAGGCGATGAGTATGATGCTGTCTCCTGTGAGTGATGCGAAGATAACGAATATGACCCAACTCGACCAGGTGTATCGTGCTGCATCAGTCAGAGTAGCATCCGAATCGTCGGTAGATGCCATAATAGACTGGAGAAACATAGCGTAGACTTTTGATCAACAAAAATATGCCGAATTGTCGAGTTTGCTGAAATAAAAATACCAAAGATGACTGAATGTGAATAGATGAATTTTCATTAAATTCTTTAAACTTTCTACAGAATGGTCACGTAATCAAATATTTTGTGTTATATTGTTAAATTCCGAAAGTTACCACAAAGGGCTTTTGAATAAATAATATATGGACACGTTCATTGAAGTTTGAGGATATTGGTAAATTTCTAAAATAGCGTTTTCGACGATAGTGGCTTAATTTTAGCATCTATTAATCTAGCGTGTTCATAAGTTCTGAACATTAGCCACATGACCCATACTCCCATATGCACTGCTCAGAAATAAAATGTATTGCTTTTAGGCACTATAATGTAAAAAATGTCACATTTTTGTGACATTGTTTACCATAGCTGCCCAATTATCATTCCTTGGTCTGATATATAGTAGATTAGGTCAATCTAACAATTATGATACAACATTGGTTAAAGGGCACGGATCGAACGGCTTTAAGGCAATATTTCGTAAACTTTGTCACACTCAGAATACGATACCTCTTTTCTACTGTGAGGTGTCATCAAAACCTTTTCAACTCATTATTTGATGGTTCTTCTGCCAATCATAGCCCTAAAATATGTTGTTTTGAAAAGTTAGCAAATACATGCACTTGGTTATTGGGAAATGATGTAAATTCTGTCACATTATATGGAATTTGAAATTCTGGGTGAATTTCCGAAATCATTTATATCTGATTTTGGTTTGGAAGGCGGGAAAACTCTATATAAGGACGATACACGGATACAGTTGATATAAGTATAGGGCAGTTGATGTAAACATCGTCACAAAATGATACGACATCGTGAATAAGTTAAATTTTGCGGGAAACCTCTATATAAGGACGATACACGGATACAGTTGATTCAAGTATAGGGCAGTTGATGTAAACATCGTCACAAAATGATAAGACATCATAAAGAGGTTAAATTTATGTGACGAAATTCACATTTCTTGCCCCTATTTTGAAGAACCATACCTCGGTTAGAATTCAATGTTCTTCCAGGAATTGTTGGTTGGTTATTATTTATCAAATTAGAACTCAAGTTTAACAATGCTGAGTTTAATTTTACTATGTTACTGAAATGTGACGAAATTTACTTTTCCTGCCCCAACAGTATAATTTCAATGTGATGAAAAATTGGCATTGGTTTCTACATTTCTTGTATTAATCCATTCCGATTATAATAAGGACTATCGGTATGAAAGAAAATCTATCTAAATTTTAAAATTACGTATGTGACGAAATTTACATTTCTTGCCCCTATTTTAAAGAACCATACCTCAGTTAAAATTCAATTTTCTTCCAGGAATTATTGGTTGGTTATTGTTCTGCAAATTAGAACTCAAGTTTAACAATGCTGAGTTTAATTTTACTAAGTTACTGAAATGTGACGAAATTTACTTTTCCTGCCCCAACAGTATAATTTCAGTGTGATAAAAAATTGGCATGGGTTTCTATATTTCCTGTGTAAATCCATTCTAACTATAATAAGGACTGTTGATATGAAAGAAAATCTATCTACTAACTAATGCAAGGGCTGATGTGACGAAATTTACATTTCTTGCCCCCTATTTTGAAGAATCATACCTCGAATAGGATATAATTTTACTTTATCACCATACCTATGTCGATAAACTAGTTATTTTGCCAACACGGAGCAAATAAAGTTATAATATTTTTTTTGTGACGAAATTTACAAATTTTTACCCTGTTCAGGTGTTGAAATTTATCCAATGTTAACATATCACTGCCATATAATAATTTATATGACCGTATGGTTGAAATATTGTTAATTGATCCATAGTACGTAATATAGGGTGTTTAAGTTGGTATAATAATATTTACTCAATTTCACACATGTTGAGATATCATACAAATTTATGTGACTAAATTTACCTATTTCTGCCTTCTGTATTTGTATTTGCCTATAACAATGAAATATGTGAACAATTCCAAACACATTCAGCTCACAAAATAATGCTAGACTATTCGGCATTTCTTGTCAGGATGTCATAAACATCCCTCATATAAATTTCTTAAATGTGTGACGAAGTTTACACGGTGCTACCATTTAACGAAAAAAGTCGCTAAATATGTAGATAATAGTCATATACAGCTATTCTATGAATTGGAAATTCGAAAATTTGGTCAAACACGGCAACAAGGGGTCCATATAAACTCCGTCACATTTTTATAGTGTGACAAAGTTTACAACTCACTGCCGGCCGCATTTAAGCGATATCTTATCGTCTGATAAAGAAATCGTTATGTGACAAAGTTTATCTAGAGGATGAAACGATTATCCTAACCATTGAGGGTTTAAATAATTTTATAGTGTGACACATTTTACATCATCGTGCCATTTAGTAAGGTCACTAATATTTACCAATATCCTCAAACTTCAATGAACGTGTCCATATATGTTTTATATGAATTTAATTGATCCCAATAACGCAAGAAACATTTGGTCAAAGGGCATATAAATTATAAATACAGCTCGCTTAAAATGGATTAATTGCACTTACACCTAAAACCTGTCGAACGTTAGTTAATCGTCTAGAATGATAAAATATAACTCGTCTTAGTGTTTCACTAACCACCTATTAAAGTTTTTACCACTCATTTCAGTTTATTAGGCTACCAAGTTCGCGTTTGTGTGATATTTATAGATCTCAGCTTCTGAAGGTCACGTGACTTCTCTTTGGGCTCAATATGACTGCAACCCCACTGCAACATGCATATTTTTATTTGTGCTCAAAATAAAGCTTTCGAGAAAATAGAGGATGATGATTTATTAAAATTTAGGGGTTTGGCCTTTGAACTAATCCTGATTCCTGGTTTTACTTATCTAAATATTCCGCTCCTTAGCTCCTACTCTCCTAAGGTGGACCAATGTTTTATGAACGGTCTGTTGTGCATATTTAACATAGTGCAAAATTGTGATTTCCGGCTCCATAAAGTTATATTTCCTACGTCTACAATGACCTCAAAACCAGGTTCTGCGGGCTCAAAAGCCCTTTCTAAAACAGTATTTTACATTCGCACCTTACTGACGCAATGGCCACATAGTGTCTCTAACATACTTTTGTCAGTTTAAGTTGTCTGACAATAACTAGGAACGACAAGTGGTAATTTGTTGGGTATTATATATTAAGTGATGACTGATGTATAACAACTGTAAAGTTGAAACTCATGATCCCTCTATTCTGTTCACGGTGGTTGAGTTTAAAGTTAATCAGCTCTCGCTTGGGTAGCTACAGGCTACAATTAACTACATTAACATACGTCAGGTCACATACGTCAGGTCACGCACTATTGCCGTGCCGCAGATTAAAATCACTTTCTTAAATTCAGTAAAATTGTAATATATTAATATGAAGATTGAAGAAGATGAGAGGAAAATATCAATAAGCGAATCGAATATATTGTGCGTTTGAAATGGTATCCTAATTGTACTCTCTTAGAACAAACAAAGAAACGATAAGAATATAATAATGTTGCACCGTTTCGCCACAGTAGATGTTCCATGATACACTGCCAATCTACTCAGTTTAAGTATCTCATCTCTCCGTGTGTTAATCTTCCTCGTACACGTGAGGTTATCAGGGGTTAGAGGCTTAGACACGTGATCGACTTATAAAATGAGGGTGACCAAGAGTGACGGTCACTATACTGGTTAGTAGAACGAAGTTAAACTTGTAGTACTTACAATACCGGCCCATCTATTTTTAGTAATATCAAGTTACTTAGATGGAACTTAACGTTCACTGCACAAGAATTGTATCTAAGTTATGAATAACTGCAGAGTGCAGATAAATGCTGTCAACGAAAGTAAACTGGTTTTCATAATCAATATTTAAATACAATTTAAAAACGTCCGAAAGTATGCGGACGGCTGTAGAATGGCGTCTGAAAAAAAATCTATATACCGGCACGACGAGCTTTCAAAAGATTTTTGACATTTTTGAGTCCCACCAGGTGTCATTTATGACTGACAAACTTTTCCAAACTTTTTCACGTGTCTCAATTCCACTTTTTGCCAACTTTCTTGTTTGTCAAATATCTCTAGTTGTGAAAATCGTAGAAGGGTGCGAAGTGCGAATTCATCAAGGGTGTTTATCAGAAAACATTTGAAAGGTTTACGTTTCGGGAATACTAAAATTACCAATATGTACAGTTGAAGTTCAGTAAATCTCAGCAGATTTTAGAAGTCAATAAATTACTAACTCAAAGTTTTGAAACTTAAAATCATTAACCACTCGTAAGAGTTTCAGGAGTAATTACAGTACAGCGTTATCAATTCCACTTTAAAAACTGCACCTTAGGCCATTTGAAATCTAACCGGTAACCTGCTGTTTTATGATGTATAGTAGTCCGAGCCCCGAGGACTACTATGCTATGACCAGCCCAAGTAGTATTCGAAACTTCTAAACTCATTAAACAAGAAGCTAAAAAACAAATCTAGCAACTGATATAAGAGATATGATTATTCTGACTATGATCAGTCAGTGTTAGATACAATCTGATATAATAAATTATCTCACAGAAATATAGGTATATGATCATGTGTTTCTCCTAAAGATCTGTAAGAGTGCGGTCGTTGGAATGTTTATCTACTCTCCAGAGATATTTTGAGGATTACGATTTCCGATTCTATTACCTTAATATGATCACAAGCTACATAAAGTACATATTATGTAAAGCCTCTAGATGTGATCGTAGTGGGGGAGGGGGAGGGGTGGCATCAGGAAGCAAATCCTCTTCGTATCCAAGAGTCAAGAGTGGCGTTCTTCTTGTCTCTAATATACACGCTCAATACCCACCACTTGTTCCTGCTTCTTTGTAGTACTAAACACTGATACTCATTCAATTTCCAGCCTTATTCTTATTGAATAATTATGCTGATATGGAACTTTGAAATTTGCACTAAATGTTAGAGATCTTACGTAAAGTAAAGCGAATAAAAATTTCGGTTAATTATATAATACACATTTAAACTATTTACAATGAATGATAGCTAAATTTTGGAACGTATGGTATAATACCGTACCACCTTAAAATTAAGTTATGGTTTAATCAAAGGATTTTCTGCTTACTCCCGCAAAATCCTGTGCTGTTTTACCAGTTACCACGTCTCTTTAACCCATTAGCTCCACCGAGCTACATTCAGTATGTCGTTTATGTGAATCACGTGTTTTGTCACACCTCTGAAGTAGTCTCGTCCAATTTAGTTATACCATTGTACTTTCATCACAATTAAATTGTTATGTTAAAGATATCCTACCAATAGCTAAGGAAGTCTTCAAGAAGTTTAACCTGTTCATTAACACAGAGAAAACAGAATTTACCCATGTTTTCCTCGCTCCTGTTGGGGAAACAATCCCTGGTCGTGATGATACCATGTTACGTGGAAATAAAGATTGGCGTAAGAGTAAGATTTTTGGGTCTTTGTTGTGTAGTGAATGTGATATAGCTGCTCGATGCATTGCTGGGAACAATGCCTTCTATAAGTTCACCAAGATCTTGTCTCAGCAGAATATCTCCGTTACCAGAAAGATAGCAGTATACGAAGCCCAAATTGTATCAATCATCATGTATAATTGCAGTAGTTTGTGTCCTACTGCAAAGTCACTAGAAAAACTAGACATTTGCCATAGAAAACACCTTAGATCATTACTGAACATTTATTGGCCTCATGGAACAATATCCAATGCAAACTTATACCTAAGATGTAACTCAGTAAAGCTATCAGATCGTTTCCCTAAAGCAAGGTGGAAGCTCCTAGGTCATATCTTGCGTAGTGCTGATGACTCCCCCGCAGCATTAGCGTTAAAGTTTGCTGTCACAACAAACTGTAAAGGGCTCGTCGGTGCGCATCGTAAGAATTTGTTCAAGATTATTGTGAATGATTTGACCCGTAGAGGTTTAAACCTTAACTCTTTGAATGATCTTAATAAGCTTAAGATATCAGCCGATGATAGAGTTGCTTGGAGAAACAAATTTTCACTCTAGCTGTCTTGATCTGTATTGATCACCATTTTAGGATGACTTGATTTCTTTTAGGGGTTTTGAATATTTTAATGGTGTAAACAGTTTCTTAATAATGTTAAAGATATAAAGTTATTTTCTCAAACAATTCCCCCACCCCCTCCCTCATACAAATGATAAGTTATATAATATATTTATAGAAGGTTAATTATATTTTCAGAGCAACTCAGCGGATGCGACACTATGTCATATCCGTTTTCCCCCGTGCAACCCCCTCCTAATAGTCATAAGCCATCTCTTCCTGCCCTGATAGACATACTGTGTCTATCGGTAAAAATTGAGCAAAAGCCATCATAGTTTTTTCATTGTTGAAGGAACAATAACTGTGTCACTCTAATGCCTATCCGAACACGGAGTCATGTACTAGATGCCTCTATCTTGACTGACAGATTTATTTTTCAGCGCCTCCCCAATCCTGGGGTACACTGCAGCAGAACTGCTGGGCTCGAGTGGGTACAACTTTTATCACGATGAGGATCTCAACGCTCTGGCTCGATCTCATATTGACTGTAAGTAAGGTTAAATGGTCTGCTGTGGTAATTGTTTGGCATTTAAACTGGGCCGTCTAGACGAATGATGCGTTAAATCCATGAATAATTTATGTGATTATGCGAACCGACCGCCCATTTGCTGGTAGTGGTATAAACCATTATGTTACCGGAGTATTTAGATCATGCCATGAGAACCCAGTTTACTTAGATGAGAACATTTCCATTCCTAGAAAATGTGCAAAGCACGAAAATATTAACGAGGCGCATAATCATGATAATGAACTTTACTAATAAAATTGGTTTTTCTCAGTAACGAAGAACGGTTCGGGTGACACGTGTCTATATCGATTCTTGACGAAGGGTCAGCAATGGTTATGGGTAAAAACGCGGGGGATGATTAAATACAGCGAGGAAACCAAACAGCCAGAATCTATCGTGTGCCGGAATATCGTGGTAAGCTACGCTGAAGTTTGGCAGTTCCTGCAGAACAAGGCTCGCCAGTATGGTCCGGAGGAGAAAAAAATGGTGTTGTCTGCTCCGCAGCCGAACGCAACACCAGCAGCGCTCGCCAAGATAGAGTCCATTTCGCCCGGCAGTGGTATGTATGTAGTAATAAAACTACCGCGCTTTCTCTGAGGAATTCGCTGGTATTTTATTGATATGGGATACCGCTGCACAATGAGCTTCATTAAAATAGCAAAAGGCGATATAAGTTTGTGGACCCTGGTGCAGACTAAGGACAACTAATCGAATTTTTAATTTATGTGTCATACTGTGAAAGCATATGCATTGCTTATTATCATAAAATAAGATGTATGCTCCGGTCGGTGTCCACAACATCATACATATATTTCCGGTCATTACACTCCATTCCAGTGAGGTAGAACATTAGTCCGACTTATATTTCCTTTTGCTCAGTGTCCTTTTAGCACTGTTCTTGCCTGTGTCGTTAATTTTTAACATCCCGATCTGAACAACTTTCGCATAGGTATAAATTAATAGTATGGTATCTGATCTCATTACCTCATTTTCGTTATTACTACAACCGGAAATTCGCTCTAATTTGTAATCAGTAATACCCTTTGTGTTAGCCGTCATCTCTGTGTTATATGTGTACTAAGACATGTTATCTTCAGAGGTGAAAGTGGAGCAATTTTCGCCCCAGAGTGGTCACTACCTGGACCCTAACTCTCAAGCCAGTTTCTACCCTAGTCCCGAGACGCCTCCTCGCAAACAATTCGGCTTCTCGTCAGAGCCCAACGCAGTTCCGGCTTCAAACCCGGTCTCGGGCGTAGCTCCTGCTCCTTACTTCAACCCACCTACACCAGCCCCTAACTTCGTCGCTTTTACCACCACTGAGTACGTTCAACAAAACAACCAGAGAAACGCCAATGGCAACTCCTTCAATGATCTGTTCCCAGGTTACAAGCCCTCTATCTCAACTGAGGAGCAGCACGGCCGGTTCCGTGCCCCCGCTCGCTTCAACCCCCCACCCACCCCGGAGTGTCAGTTCCAGAACTCCGCTAATAACACGTACAATAGTTCCTATCCCGAGGATGTGAAACCTGTTTACATCCAGCAAACCACGCAGCAGCAGCCCCAGCAGCCGGGCCAGTTCCTGCAGACCATATCCTCGCCGCCCCCCACTAACGGAATCCGGAGTGTCCCCATCAGACAACCTGGAAGTGTCCTGGTCACTACTGTTCCGGCCCATGCTGCTGCTCCGCCTAACCAAATCATTACCACCCCTTCCACTTTCCAGCACCCCGCTAGCACTCCCAATGTCATGGTTACAGCCTCACAGACACCAAACGTTATGGTGACGACACCCGCCAATGTTATCGTGATGGGACAGCCCGGCTACGTCAGTAACTACATCGGACCAAGTGTTGGTGTCACGGCACACCATCAGGTGCCAAATGTGACCTTGAGGTCCGTGCCGGTGCATGCGGAGGAGCCTGTGGTGGGGATGCCAGTATCAACGGGTTACACAGAGCGGCCTCAGCAGATCACCTCGATCCCTGTTTCCGCCACTTACACCCAACAGAGTCCGACCCTACACCTCAACAACAATAATAATATAGGTTTGTGGTATTGAGATCTTTTAAACTTTCAGAGATATTTTCATTTTAGACTTATCCAGTTATTTTGAGATCATGATGATAAGCTGAAACTTAAAACTAGGAACGGTCCGTTTATGAAGTCTGGAGAAATGCTGCGCTAAGTGCCACCTGCTATATTTTACAGCCTGAGGTCATGTTGAGTGAATTACTACTGATGTGTATCTGTGATTAGCAGACAATAGGCATACAAATTTGAAAGACGTAAATTGTCGAAGTCAACAACAAAATTCCAGAATATTGAAAACAGATTACGTATATGTTTTAAAATTATTGAATGTAATCGCATCTTGGTAAACCGAGCTATTCATAGCATAAATATAATAATCAGATCGCCTATTCAAATTTCAACAAACATCTCTTTCGTCGAAGGCCCGCTTCACGAAATGGATTTCTTACAAACATTCGGACTAATAGTACCGTTAAAATATTTTATTAAAAGTATCAGGTTATTCACGCTCTTAACACGTACTCATGCAAACAATAAGTTCAATAATTGTCTGGTTGAAGTGGTAATTAATGCCCGCACATTTTCCTGAACTCCTCAACTGAAATCATCTTGTCGCCGTCTGCGTCAGCAGCGTTGAACATGGCCTCCAGTTCGTCGTCATTTACCTCTTCCCCCATATCGATCATGGCTTGTCTCAGCTCGTCCTTGTCGATCGATCCGTCGCCGTTCACGTCGAAGTTTTTGAACTCCTCTGAAATGAGGTCCGCTCCCGGGTTCTGTTGTTCGTACAGAGCCAATCCTTCCTCGACAATCTTCATAAACTCATCAACATTCATCTTTTTGTCGCCGTCCGCATCAGCCAGATTGATTAGTTCCGTGCACTGTGCCTCGGTAAGTCCCCCTGCAACCGAGTTCATTGCCTTCGCCAAGTCGGTGGCGGTTAGCGTCCCACTGCCGTCCTTGTCAAATGATTTGAAGGCAGCTTTCATCTCGGACTTCGCTTCATTGTTTAAAGGCATCCTGGTGTCTAGGTATTTAAAAGATTAGTACAAAGGTACAACAATTCCTCCTGCAAAATAAAACCTAGCAAAATTGAACTGTCAGGTAACGATGTCTCATTAAATCTAAAATATGGTTAAATTGCTGGCTAGATTGATTCTCGACACGTGTAACTGCGTTTAGTGGCGCGCACAGGAAACCAATTATCGAGCAACCAGCGACGAGTGATCGATATCAATTACCACGGTTTTGATATTACAATTAGGATAGTTATCAATGACTCATGAATATTCCCCTTTACAGTTGTGGAAGGAATGCGGCAGCAGCAACCGCAGCAGCAGCAGCAGCAGCATCCACAGCCGCAGCACCCACAGCAGCAGCAGCAGCAGCATGTGCAGCAACAACATCAGCAACAACAACAGCATCCACAACATCCGCAGCATCAACATCAGCAACACGTCGCATCTCCGAGAAAGGGTGTGTCCGTTTACAGCTGCGGATCTGAAAAACGATGTCCGTCTCCTGGGAATCTTAACTCTTGTGCGCAGGTTCGGGTAATTTCTGCTAATTCAAATTTCTTTCTTGTCTGGAGTTTTGTGTTGAAAATGATCTGCTTCAGTTTTATGTTCTCTTATCATTACTTGCTCACGAGTATAACTAAACGCACATTAACCAACAACATATAAATGGGGGGGGGGGGGGGGTGGATTTCAATAAAATTAAGATTAGTATTTGTCCTATTCCTAAATATGGTTTGGATAACCCTCAAAGAAATGTTTACATCGGTGTCAGAGGGTTACTATTGATTGCTGGTCGAAAATTAGAGTAAATACATAATGGTCTAGATAGACAAATTAGTTAATGTACCCCCCTCCAAAAGAAATGCTAACTAGATAACAATTAGGTATCGATGAAGCGGATGAGAAACGAAGGTCCTGCCAGTCAGTGCCTACCTACGTACATAAAGCCGGCAGTGCAACTTCCCGCCCACCTCCCTTACAGTAACGGCCAGTATTCCACCACCACAAGCCCCTACTTCACCCCTCACACTAACGGTTACCACCAGCTCTCCAACGAGATCAAGCAGACGAGTCACGTGATCGGCGTCCCGGATACTCACAGCGCCACAGTCTACCACTCCATAGATACCGGCCAGCACATACAGAAACAAACTTAGCAGGACTTGAAGCTTAGGATGGCTTTTACAATACATCTAGATGTGATCTGTACATATTACGAGCGTTGCTACGCGGTTCAGAGAATTGGTACAGTTAGTTTGGTCTGGCATGGGAAGGGTGTCCTGCGCGAGATAACTACACGTGCAAGGCGCGGTGTTAGATAACTGCACGTGCAAGGCACGGTGTGAGATTGAGTGGATGCTTGCGGAGGGGAGACGGTACCCTTGTAATTGAGAAACTGGATGAATTCAGACCTTCTGTACTGTGAGTTAAGATTGTTCCTGTCTTGCAGTAAAAAACAACTATTGCTATACATGTTTTGCGGACACAGTCAATTGAAGCTTGATGAAGATGAATAATTGTTGCCAGATAAGTTTTACTTTTACTTGGTTTTATAATATTATTTAAATGTTAGCAAGAGTGGCACCACGCCTCCCATCATCTTATACATACACATTTATCCTTTTCCGGTAGAAATTGAATTGTGGATCTTCTATTCTGGCTTCTTGTTGAGGTGCTAATTACTATTGAAAGCTATGCGAAAATGACCTCGGCAAAATGGGCCTGACTACTGCATGAGCACTGCGCAGTTGTAGTTATCGCAAAACATTGCCATATAAAGGGGCATCTCAGAAATTGAAAGTTTTTTGGATGCAAACTCTTATCTCTATTGAGAGTCAGATGTACTCTCTGGTCCGAATATTAGAAAGTGGTGCCACTCCACTCGCCACGCTGCATATTTATACTTTAAGTTACATTTTGTGTCTGTTCTAGGGCACATAGCCCGGAAGTGTGTTCTCATCGTTACAAAACGACTGGTTGAAATTTTGGTCGAAACTTAAAATCTGGATTGGTTTAGATCGCTGTATAAGGGAGGGTCCAAATATAATCTCAGCAGTCAGCATCCTTGGGAGAAGAGGGGTTTCTAAATTTGCTGTAAAACTGACACTAATATGATTTCCACACAGCAGTGTAAATTTGCTGACGTAAAAGCTGTCACTGACGTAACTGCAATCACTTCCGTAAACTTTGCATCTGCTGTTGTCTTTTATTAATATCTGAAACTTAAGTCACGACTTAGCTGCATGATGAATGGAAAGTTAAAACCAAATCAATTTTCAAGTTTCGACCAAATTCCCCACCAGTAGGTTTGTACGCAATAACGCCCGGGTTTCATGATACCTCCCTCTTGTTCGTTCAATGTGTCAAAAACACAGAATTTTCAGTGGAAATATCGGTGGCAAGTTTTTGTTGAAAATAGCTTGTAAGTCCTCAGAATGTGGTCTGCAGGCCACCCTCAAAAGATCTATTTTGAGACCCCTCTTTAAAACTCATTTATTTTGAATTTTACAGTCGATATTTTTAGACGTCTATTGTAAATTTATCCTGTCAAAGCTTGCTTAGAGTTGGTTTCGGTGATGTGCAATCAAGTCAATTTCGATGCGATTGGATTTTTGAGTGAAAAATTAATTTATTAAGTCTGCCATGATTTTAGGATATATTTCCATATTAGCATAGGAGATAATTCGAGATGATTAATGATTATATACGGTCAATTACCAGTTATTGATTCTTCATTTTACCATTTGAACAGATATTGTGCCGTTTAAGCTCGATGTAATATCCTTACTACGGGGTGATTCCTTTGTCAAAACAAATTCCGGCGTGCTTCATACTCAGTGCCATATTAGATAAAATCCTTAAATACCAATGACCATTACTGATAACAGAAAGTGACACAAGAGAACTATTTGAAAGTCATACATCATACATTTTCTCACATGAGCTTTAAGATAACGTTGTAGAAACATAATATGCATTATCACAGATTAAAGTTAACAAAATTAAAGTATCCCCTATGAAATTCAAATAGGATCACCCTTATCTGCGATATCAATTATTGTATCTGCTATATATTTTATTTAAGAACAAGGTCCTGGATTTGCATCGATCGATCCATTCATTTTGCCAAGATTCCAAATGCTACGTTGTTATTTGAACATAATAAACGCACTTTGAAAAATTTGCCATTTATGAGTATTGTAATTGTATGAACTGTGATTGTTATAAAGTCTTGCAATAATTGAAGCTAAAACTTAAATTCTAGCAGAGCACAACCTCATGTATATTTAATTTATCAAATTTGTAAGTCATAAGTTAAGATTAAGGATTCTTTTGGTATTGGTGATCAAGTTTGAGTTTTATTTCCATTCAAAACAATTTGATAATTGATAATTAACAAAAAGAGCTCATCGGTGTAGACGTAGTCATTACTAGCTTCAAATCAATTATATGTAAAGTTGCGATATGATCTCATTCACTATTGATAGTTAACTGTTCGAATCCCCAAGGAAATCACGTGATGCCTAATGTTCATAACTTGTGTAATTTATTTTAAAAAATCGAAGCACGCTCGTTATAAACCCCTCCGGGATAGAATAAGATTCTGATAATCCCGGCTCCCGCTAAATAGATTCTGATAATCCCGGCTCCCGCTGTTAGTTTTTTCCCGCTGAATAAATAACCCCGGCACAGCTTTTATAATCCCGCCCCGCTAATTTGGCTCAACAAGATTTGTTTTGTTTTGACATTCCATGAGAATTTCAACCGCGTACTGTCACGTGTTTTGATGACGTGTATCACGTGACTAACTACTACGACGCGCATTGGTAAAAAATGTCACGTGACCTATGGCTTAACGTAAGAACTATAAATACACTCGATCTACGTATCGGTCTAATTGCAGGCGCTGGCAAAACTCCAGCACACTGCTTACATTACTTAAACTCTTACATTAATTGGACCAGTTCCAAAACTTGTCTCGACGGTTACATTTGATTTTGTTCGGTTCGGTTAATTTTGTCGTGTTTGATATAAGCCATGTATTATAGTCGTCTACTTTGATAAACTTCATGACACGATATCATTATTAGCTTTTATCGCTTGCCAGGCTTAACTCGACGCCCCTTATCGATATTCATATTCATTCAACGTTCTGACTGAGGAATAATGTTTAGATATAACGCCAGTTTAAATTTCTGATCTGCGAAGCAGTGTTTCTGCCTTCAGCTTGGGGCTACTCCATTTGCATGTGCTTTTAATAATGGACAAAGCAATTCTAGCTATACTATCAGGCTAGGTTATACTATGACCCTTGTCTCACGTATAGTAGCGATACTGATTTCGCTACGAAACGCAGCTACGCGCTGGTTTGATTCACGATGTCAATCCTTTGCAGCTCGGGGTGGCCCAGTGGTGCATCCTATCTTGGCGATCTACCGCGCACTGGTGCGCGGCAGGGGCCAACGATGAACGAGATTTCACAATCCAATAATCAGATTTTACAACTATCTTGAAACATAAATTTTACGAGTATCACTAGGGGGTGCACCATAAAAATAAACTTGCTCGGATTTTTAAAATTTTTGTACCATTGTTTTCTAGAGACTGTGAGAATTTTCACAGTACCAAATTTGTTATACCTTTTTAGAAAGATCAGTGAGTTTCGCCTAGGTGCCATATTTTATGGTGCGCGGCTTTTGGAGCAAAATTAGCTGTAAAAGTCGCGTAATTTGACCAAATTTGACCGAATTCGTTGATTTTTGTCATATTATTTAGATATATCTTCAGTTCCTTGAATGAGATCATTCTGAAAATTGGCGACGACCTTTCAATAGGGCTTTCACAACTGTCCGAAAAATTTGGTGGATATCGGAGTTGATATAGTGATCAAAATGGGGCAAAATACGCTGCTTTTAGCTGTAACATAATGTCTGATGGTTGGATATGCTTTAAACTTTTCGGACACTTTCCTTGTAAGTCTATGAGTAAGCTTACCAATTTTTGTTGCAATCAGAGGTCGGGAAGGATACTTAATATCTATTTGTTTGAAAAAAATTGTGCTGGCCGAAATTAGCGCTAAAAAACCATCCTACAGTCGGCACGCGCGGCTCACTGTCGATGGCGCACTACCTAGTATCACCCGTGGCGAAAGCCACGATACAGCCGCGCACTTTACTCTACTCTGTACTCTGTTGTCTGTGACTGTACTCGTGCACTCTACTCGCGCGCGGCAGGTCTACAACGTGTGCTAATAAACAACCTGAAGCAAAATCTTACCGGAAGGCGCTAGTCATGATGCATGAGTCAGCTTTTTATTCAGCTGCATCTTCAATTCGTTTAAACATTAGACTAGGACGTCACCAATTCGACGGGCTACATAAAGTGCTTTGCAGAGCAATAATTTTCACCTAGAGCCTAGCCCATAGCCATGACACATGAGTCTACGCGTACTGCGTGACGCCGCGCGCATGTTTCAAGCGCTACTACAAGCGAAAGGGCTCTGGATAGAGCAACAATAATTTTGAAGTACAAAGTAGGGTCGTCAATCAAAATAAAAAGCAAAGTCCTCCAAGGTGCAAGGGGTAATTTAAAATCAGTGTTCAATTTGTATGTTTAAAACCTACCAGGACGCACGCCGAGTTGGACTTTTACAAATATCACCCGTTAATGTTCGATGCAAAATTACAATGAGTCTATTTTGTTAATTCAACTGAAACTGCACAAAGTCTTATTAATTGTTGATTCACGATGTCAATCCTTCGCAGCTCGGTGAGGCACAGTGGTGCATCTCGCCGATCTACCGAAGGTTGCGAGAAGCATTATTTGATGTGCGCGCGACCCAGTAGTGCATCGCACTACAATATAAATTGCTTTGCCGAGCCTTACACGGTGTACATGGCCATGGTTGATGGTGTGATTTTCAGATTTTAAGTTTGTTTTAGTATACCCTGGGAAATTATAAATCCTTAATCCTGTGTATACTTGTGTGTTAATTGACGATGTCAATTCATCGCAGCTCGGCGCGGCACAGTAGCGCATCTCGCCGATCTAGCGAGGTGTGAGAAGCCTCATTGAGTGCGCGGCGCGGCACAGTAACGCATCGCGCTACAAACTTGTGTTGTGTGTATTTATTGTTTTTGTACTACAATGATATGCCTAAATCTAAATTTAGACAAGTAAGCTTGTTATGAATGATATTAAAAAGGTATTAAAACGTTTTTTGTGTTCATTATAACACAATTGAGCCAAAATTTTATACGCACCACGCATATTTTCAGAGGCGCGCCGCGCTTGTTTCGTATTTTATATTAAGTGATGTGTACCGTATTGTGAAAATCCAGCGCTAGCCGGCTGTGTTATCACTTCTCTTTTACAATTTTTAGCTGTAATTTTAGAACTACTGCTTCACATGATTTTGGATTTAGTTTACAACTTTTACACATAGTATATATATATATACAACACAGCAATTATTTAATGAAAATAAACGGCATCAAAAAGTAGCACGTAAGGTAAAAAGTATTCTTAAAAACCAGTTATTATATCGTTTAAATTCTAAATGCATGGTTATGTTGTCAATTGTACTTGTCAAACGCTGCCCGACCCATCATCTCATTGACGCAGTCGGGCCAGTGTTGGGGATGCATGAAAAGCTGCAAAAAGTTATACAAGTTCTTAAGAATATTTGACTCCAAATTATGGCACTAGTTTTAACGAAACTTCAGTTTTTAGCATAAGTGATTAAACATAGTTTTTCAGCATAACAAAGTTTAAAATTGTAGGTTTCTAGCATGAGCAGGTTCTCAACTTTCTGAAGATGGGCACCTCCCTGGAGTCTCACACCCTTTAGTCCGGACCCGTTACAGCCATCTGCATTTGCAATATATAACTATGCATTGTAACCATAAAATCTGCAAAAAATGTAACCCTTTTTCTGTGTTTGGTTACTCAACTTTAAGACTTAAAATATGGGTTTTTCAATTCATCAAGTTGGGCAGAATATGTTATGACTAATTTTATTTGTGTTTTGTATAATCTCCCATTATAGCTTCCATGTGTGGAATTTCCTGCAGCTACAAGTGCAAAGCTCCAGGAAACAAAAGATTGCTGAATCGAGGTCCTGACCATCAATGCTCATCGTCATTGAATGATGTTGTCTTGAACGCATACATATTGTATGTGCAGGGAGCTTGTAAACAACCTTGTTCAAGAGATGGTTGTCATCTTATTTACAACGGGCAAATCTTTCAGTATCCTCAGGTATGTACAGGGTGGGCCAAAAGTCAGTACCCATACGTTGGCCTTAATAGCTCCGCCGTGTTTTATATTTGAGAGCTGTTGCTTTGCAGATGGCATACTGTACTTACTGGTTCGAGGATTCCGTCGTCAAAATTTGAAAATTCGAATATTTTAGACCACGCCCATTCAATATTAAAACACCTATATTGTTTTCTCTGAACATGCTGAACGCCTAATTTTTTCAGAGACGGTAGATTATCAAATGTTGCATATGATCTGAAAACATAAGGCAAAACGGATTAGAAATGACGAAGTTATCAAGCATTTTCTGTATCTCGTTAACAAAATTGACTGGGTGATTATGTGACACCGTGACACGACACCTTAATTGGGCACCCTTAACAATTCCCATAATGTTTAACGGGGTAGTTACCGGGGGCACCTTATCACGTGATTAGGTAAACCAATCACCTGATCACACGTAATGAATAAACTCGTTATGCTTCATATCTCGGTCATCTGAGAAGCTACAGTTCTAATTCTTTCAGGACAAACGTAATTCGAATGGCCAAACACAATTCAATAACATTTAGCTTGATCCGACTATCCAAACTATCAAATAAATGTGAAAATGAACCTCCATTTGAAAAAAATTAACGCGAATATTTTTCGAGTTGACTAATTCCTCGAACCAGTGGTGGTACTAAGTCATACCAGAAAGAAGTATTTAAATTGGGCACTCAGTGACTGAGCTATAAAGGCCAACATATGGGTACTGACTTTTGGCCCACCCTGTATAATGACAGTAAAATCTTAAAAATTGTTAGAACAATCGAAAAAAAGCCTACATGTTGTGCAGCTTGAGTTTGGATCAGCTAAACCTGGTTTCCAACATTTTAGATAATATACAATTCATAAATTTGATAGATTTGTAGTGTAATTAATTTCTACTATTGTCATGAGTTGTAAAAAGGATAAATGATAAGTTCTCTTATCTGTCTGTAGTATAGACTCTATACAATCTGTCTTCAGAGTTATGAAAGTGATACAGAATATTTGCTGGATCTAGTGACAAAAGATGACGTCCCTTCAGCTGCAAGTTGTATACTGGGTCCTTCAACTGCTATAATGTATGATGTAAGTTGGTAATATAAGATCTCGTGAATTTTATACAATTGACTTACACACCGCTATGGAAGTGGAGAAAATTTTGAACTTTAATTAATAGATCTGTCGTTTGTCGATTTCAAAGCTTAGACAAGTTTCACTGTACTAGAAATCTCTCACAGGAAAATAAGAGGAACTTGTGGTTTTGGAGAGATTATTTTGGACGGAGATCGTTACTTATTTCAAGACAGGAGGTTGGATATGTACTAAGTTCAGTGGGTGATGCAGAAAATGATTGGTTGGAGGTACCTGCTGGTGGAGTGTTCTGTTTATCGGATAGCAACTTGACGTGTTTCCCTTTTGATGGGCGCGAGGAGCAATGTCAAACCTTTGGGACGACTTTATTTGAGTCAGTTTTTATATCAGAAGGTAAATACTGACCATTATCAAACTTTCATTTAAAAAATGTTATTCAAAGTCTCGTTTAACTATCAATTAGTTCTTTTATATATCTGAGCACTACAAACATTCTAATATCATGAAATAAAGCTAATACAAACTTCGATTAATACTGATTTTTGCCATCTTATTTCAGAAACAATACCTTGCCCTGTTTCCCCACTTAACACAAGTTTTGGTCCTCCTGAAGAACTAGATTGGGAGTCAACTTGTTCCATATTTCTTGAACTTCTGTGTGAGTCAGTGCGACTGAGGGATGAGTGCTGCAAGCTTCCCCTCTCATTTACCAAGGTTAGCTTAATTTGAAACACTATGTTTTATCAATTTTAGAAATGTTTCCTATGTTTTCCGACTTAAATTCATAGAGAAGGACTTAATGGTGCAATACTTCTATTGTTTCCAACTGGGTGCACAGTGCCCACGCCCACTGCACAGTTTTACATGTTGAATAGTATTAACGATTCATCATTTATGCTATTCAACATGTAACTCAACATTTTACTAATTTATAATCGCAAATATGAAAATTTATTGTATTACTTATTGTTATTATAATGTATAATTATATTAGTTATTATTTACTTATTATATTAGTTGTTATTTACTTATTATATTAGTTATTACTTGAGTGTACAATGTTATAGGACTCCCTATCAGATTACACTGCTCGACACTGTTTCTGTACTAGTGATGTAAAGTGTAATGTACATGGAATAGAGACTGGAGGGTCTCCAACGCTAGAGTTGCTGTTTTGTTCAGTGGTGGTATTGACTGTACTGTACTAGCCGCGCTCTTGCACAGGTTACATTCTAGATTATAGAGTAGGATTATTAAATATATTCAACTTATTATAATATACATACATTCTTACTTGTAGTAATTTATCATAGATCATTGTTGTCATAAAATTAGTAAGCGTTCGCGTTGTGAACTCTACCTGGGGTGGGAGTGTAGATATTAATATTATTTGTCGGACATTATTAAATGACAGTAAATTAAATATAAATTTATTAATCACTGTTTGCAGGTCAGTGCCGTCATGTGAACCTATAGATCTGCTGAACGTCTCTTTTGGTAACTGTGATAAGACTCCTGATAGGATATCAGCTATTGCTTCCCTCCAAGATTTACAAACAATTGCTCCTGATAGGACCTGGAATCTAATCAAGGTTTAATCATAAACAAAAGTTAGAATTTTAATAAACATGTAGCTAGATGTTTTACATCTTTTCTGTAAATCTCACCTTACAAATTTAAAAATTACACTTTTAGTTGCTTTACATATCCAACTTAAATATAACAATCCTGAAAGCTGTCATTTATACTAACTTACTAAATTTGAAACCCTAAGTAATTTATAATTTAAATTTGTCCCAGGTGGACGTGTCTGTAGAAGAGCTCCAGCGAGCTCGGGAACACCACATCCGAGATCTATTATATCCTCACAACACTGTTATAGACGACAGTATAGGGTGTGCTCTCTGGTTTGCTGCAAGAGGTGCAGGTCTTTGTCAGGTATTACTCGTACTGGTTATTAACTTCACCTCACATTAAAATTGCCACATGCTATACCTGTTCAGTTAACCTAAGCTTCAGCTCTGACTTGTGGTTGTTTTGAGCAAGTTTCAATTTAAAGATCAAGTTTATTTTGCACTTCAGGATGATCACATGATCAGCTCAGCTCGTCTACTCTTTTCCGGTATTGGAGCAGATGAACTGATGGGAGGTTACTCCCGTCACAGAGGTGCGTGGCAGAACGGGGGTGGTTTAGAGGGTGTTCTCAGAGAGATACAACTTGATATTGGCAGGTAACCATGTTCTCCAAATCTTAATTCACTTCATTTCAATTATTTTGTCGCCTTATCACTATTGATGATTGTTTTTACCAACCTGTTAGATAGCATGCTCTTGATTAATAGCTAATCTCTTATCATAGGATCTCAGAAAGGAACCTGGGTCGAGATAACAGAGTGATAGGTGATCACATGAGAGATTGTGTGGCCCCATTTTTAGATGAGAGTTTTGTGTCTTACCTGAACCCTCTTCCTATTCAATACAAGGTCAGGAGTTTTATCCTGAGTTCTATTCCTGAGTTATGGATTCTCAATTAAATTGTTTTTATATCATGTGTTTTAATGGTTTATGATCGACGTTAATAGCAACCTATACTCTTCAACTGCTGGCTTTTTATTTGAGAATGATGACTGATGATGCAAATAATTTTTAAGTTCAGATTATTCAAATTCAAACCATCAGGTTGATTTCACCCTACCCCGTGGACAAGGAGAAAAGATAATTCTGAGGAAAGTAGCACAGACCCTAGGTCTGGCTACCAGTAGTGTACTACCCAAAAAAGCAATACAGTTCGGCAGTAAGATAGCCAAGTTAGAGGGAAAGAAGGAGAAAGGGGGTGATGTCTGCAGAAGACTCACGAAAAAGGGATAAACTTAGTCCACAATCACGAGAGATATTCTCAATTTGATTAAATAAATTATCATATCAGTACAGAGGGGTTGTCATAACAACAATTTGCTCGTGGCTAGAGATTGTTTCAGTTTTGACTCGAAATGATATGCGGGATTCGTTACATGCGTGCGAACTGCGAAGGGGTCAAGGATCTTATCCCTGGCGTGTTCCCAAAACGTATTACATATATATCATATTACTACCGACATCCCAAAAGGGTGACGAACTGTATTATTATAATATAGAGTTCCACTCCCAAAATCACACTGAATGATGTACAATGTTAAGATTTGGTCGAGTGCCAGGTGTTTAGCGATACGTAGGGCGGCTCTCTTATTTCATTAGCCATAACTCAACACTAAGCTTTTCTTCTTGATGTGTCTCTGAGCAGTTTTAGTCCTCACTCCTTGCAATTAGATGCTCGCCCGACCAGGGCCTTCGTGGAACCGGATGTAAAAGATCAATTTGTGTGATTCTGCGGTATCTTCAATTTTTTTTTATCTCATGTTATTTATCTTTGGGGTTTGCAATTGGGTCTTATTCCTTAGTTAGTGTATGTTGTGGCAGTATTGTTTACTACTGACCAGGGTTATGTTTTCAAACTATAACAGTTAGCTGCTAACTGTTATAGTTTGAAAACATAACCCTGGTCAGTAGTAAACAATAACTGAGTTAGCAGGTAGCTTCATCTTGTCTTTTTAAGACGTGGTTGTTTTTGTTAAGTTCTTGGGTTTGATTGTATGCTTTGTTGATTTTATTGAAATTTAATTTTACCAACTGAACCAAGATGGCACAAAAAGCAAAGGAAGATTGTCTGAAGATAGAAAGACGACAATTAACCGAACTGAAGTCTTTTGCAGCTCCGCCTCAGTCAGTTATAGATGTTTGCGCTGCGCTCAGTGTCCTCTGTACAGATAACATGGGTACAAATTGGGTGGCTGCTAAGAAGGCTCTCGGTTCATTTCACCGCATCGTTTCAGCATTCGATGTAGATAAAGTGGATCCTGAGCGAAAACGTATAGCTGGAGAACTAATTAAGGGTTTGAGTGCAGATGAAATGGCAAAGAGGAGTCTTGCCGCTGTTGATATATTCAAATTTGTTAACGCTGTGTGCAGTGATGTGTAGTCATATAAGCTTAGGCATTTAACGGAATTATTATTAATATAAAGGATATATTTATTAGAATTGATACATGATATTATATCGAAGTTTTCATAATTTATATTGATTTACGTTGTTAAGAATGAAATATGATTACAAACATCATGTGTTATGGTAACTGTCATCTCTGCTCATGAAAATAACTTAAAGCAGCACATGCTGAGATACACACAGGATAAATAAATAGCCCTAAGTAAGACTATTTCACAAGACAAGGCCCTGAAAACACATGTTCTGACTTACTCTAGCGAGAAACCGTTTCTTTGAAAATGCTGTGATTTCGTTTCAAGACAGATGGACGGGCGTCGGGCACATACAAGTAAAGGTCATGACATCTGAAAATATTTTCCTGTCAATTTACGACCTCAGGATGGGTATTAAAGAAGTCAGTTCTCATCACAAAAATCATCACACGTGCATGCGATTACTACACTAAATTAAAGAATTCTTGTTCTTAGCATGAAATAAGGCCTGATAATGATATTTAGTTATAGATTTAACTTATTTATGCTATATTTAAAATAATGATATAATTATGCTGAACAGCTAAAATTTTAATGCTTTTAACACTTTTAAAACATTAAATTGTAATCCTCAATTTTGTGTTTCCCTTCGTTTCCAAATAGAATAGATTAGTAAACTCTTGCACTTTCACCAACTATTTGAGGAAGGACGATCCAACAAAATAAATTGATTAGAGCTTCAACTAACAATTATCAATTTAAAAACAAAACTAATAAATTATTCCTTATTGATTAGTCAGACTCGTTGATTATTTAATTTTCTACAATAATTTTTACCACCCAGTTAATGCAATTGTCAAGGCTAAACACGAACGGGAAATGTATCGATTGTAGAGTGATTCATAGCTAGTTCAACTTAGTATTTAACAGCATTTGAACATTAGAACCCAGCGGAAATTGGGGAAATGAATTTGTTCAAACACATATATAATTGTGTGTTAATTTGCCCTCATTTGGGGGAAGTAAATGGCGAATCGGGGTTTTCAGTAAATCTTGATGCGGGAAATCGGGTTTTACTGCACCCCTGACCCCATCCACCCATATTTCCTCTACTTTTCCCCCACTTTTGGTCAAATGGTCACAGATGGGCATTGCCTTGAAAAGTTGTAAAAGTGGGAGAAGCAGAGGAAGATCAAGGGAGACATTTTAATTTTTTAATGCTCATCTGCCAATTTTTTCCTCAACTTTCCTCCCCCCAAGATTTACTGAACCGCGAGAGTTTTAACAGTAACACTACAACTACAAGTACTGAAAATTTAAATCTGTTTTAGTTTAGCAAGTGACAAGGTTTTCTATTCTTGGAAAGGATCTCCTCTACATAATGCCAGTAAGCAACATCTTTATTTGTCATTTCCTTCAATTAACTAATTAATCTCATATGAGGATCAGGAGTATACATTAGAGTATACATTAGAGTATACATTAGAGTATACATTAGAGTATACATTTCCTGTTATCTTTCGTATAAAAGAGTAATTCTGATTGTGCTTGTTTTGACTCGCCCATAAGAATATCGTGCTAAAGTGCATTATCTTGTTAACACGTGGCACGTACTTTGTAGTACAGTATAATTAGTCTCGCTTGAATGACTTTTTTGGGCAATGTCGAAGCAAGTAATACATTTTAGAATTTGTTTATTTATTATTTACTTTACCGAGTCAAAACAAACTCAATCAGAAATTTGATTTGTGTTGAAAATACGTATAAATGTTACAGAGATCAATGCAATATATACATTATACAGTATACACATTACACACCTATAAAACACAGTAGAAGTACACACTAACATTTTCCCATCAACTCACGAAATTCCGCAGACTCATGTTGACATATTTTGCAGGCTTATCACTCCAAGTTTAATGATGAGGAGAGCCCGATGATTGGAAACATTGCTTTCTTACCACTCCGTACTACTGTTAAGGGTCCTGCACCTCGTACAGGTACGTGTTAGGAGGAATTTTAGAGGTTGTTAAGGGGAATTGTGAACTGTTATATTATAGACCGCGTTACCCGTTATATATTGTGTATTTCAGTTACTATAGTTATTAGTTATATCTGATCTGAATCCTCTTAGATAATTACAGATTTGTACTTTACCAGATTTACCTGATCTTAGCCCACTAGGCTAACTTGTCACACATCATATTAACATTAACAACCAGATGGATCATTTAAACATTCATTACTCGGCTTTACTCTCTATTAGACGTTGACAAATAACGTCGAGGCAGACCTGGCTCAACCAATCGATATTTTACAGTAAGTATAGTCACTGCAGGTCTTCGTGGGTGGAAATCATTGAAAGGAACAATGAATTGTCTGAAGCCTCACCCTAAGTCCACATCTTAACTTCTACAGAAACGCTCGCACTACCTTCTCCTCTATTTGATTGCTCGCTCAGATTTAGGTTTTGCAGAAGTTTCATGTGTTTTCCTCTTCCAACATTCTGGTTATTCATGCAAAAAAAGAAACCTCTATCTATTCGTCATCGTTTATCACCTCTTTACTGCTAAACAATGGGCGCCTCAATCCTGGCAGATTTCTTCAGATGCACTGTCGGGGTTTCTTTAGATGTTTAAAGCTATTCTTGAAGGAATGATTGTGTTTACCATGGGCGCCATTTATCTGTTAAAAGCCTCTCGTGGGATCTTACTGTACAGCAAAGGCAACTCAATAGTCTGCAATCACCACCCGGAACACAACACAAACACTCACTCACTCACACAAACAAATACATAAGCCTAAGTAGCCTTCGCAGATAGCGAAGAAGATATCATAGACGAAACCCTCAACTACTTCAAAGCTAACGTGTTCTTCAAAAACTACGAAATTAAGGTTTGTGAATATTATTAATATTTTGTCTAATTATTGCTATAATTTCGTTACAACTTGTGTTCCATTGTTTCAATTTTATATAAAATCTCAAAGTATGTGAACCATCGTATATAAAATATAGTCGGTTTAATAGTGCAAAATTTAGCTGACCAACCCCACATTCAGCAACATTTATTTAACCAATCCCACATTTAGGGAACCTCAGACCGACTGATGATTTACCTGACCCTCTATGCTACCGACTGTATTGTTAAACTACAAAAGAGTCCCAGCAAGAACCAAGCTATAAAGGACATGTACTCTCTTGCTATCTCCCGCTTTTCTCTTCCTGGAGAAGCTGGATTTCCTCTTAACTCTGTATATGCTAGACCTCAAGGGGGAGAAGTCGGTGAGTCGATCATTTGTACAAAATTAATGTTCAATTACGACAATTTTAGTTTCCGAATCTTCTCAGCAGCAGTTTAGTATTGCAGACTGCAGTGTTCTTTTTGTTCTCTATTTCTCGATGCTCACTTAGTTTTATATTTCAGAAAAGATGAGGAGTTATTTGACTCAGTGCAGACAAGAATTAGGACAACGTATGGTTGAAAAGGTAATTAGGAGTACTGATAAACCTGATTTAAATATATATATAAATCCTAGTTTAACCATTCTCCTACTCCCCTGACAATAATTTAGATTTCTTCTGAATTGCAAACATTATTGTTCTTACAGTGAATCTAGTGATAATACTGATCCATGTTTTCAGGTATTTGGTGACAGTGACAAGCCCAGCAAGTGGTGGACATGCTTCTCCCGCAGAAAGTTCATGGACAAAACCCTAACTCCTCTTGGACAACATATTTGAGATTCTCGATATAAAACTGAGTTTTGTGATATTACAATTCACCTCCTACATGCACTGTTTTGTAAGACGATTAAAGTATCATGAAAATAATGTAGATTGGCAGTACTAGTGAACTGAGTTTTTATTTTATATTTTCCACTGGTTAAAGGGGTCAAGGTTAAAAGTAGATCTTCAGAAATTGATTAGTAGGTTTAATGTTACGATACCAATTTGCTTTCACTTGTACCACTTTCACAACTATGAACTATCCATATTATTTCAATATTGGGTTAAGTTTTGTTAATTTCCGAAATTTTCCAATTGCTGACAATCAAATTATTGTGTTAAGTGATTGTTTTTATGTGATAATAATGTTTATATTGCAATACATATTATTTCTTGTCCTGTAACGGTGTTCCTTATTTTTCACGCTTGATATTTCTTTACTTGAATGAAAGATGAAAACTATATTTAATGGCTGATTTTCGGCCCGTCTCTTGAAAAGAAACAGTCTACTGAAGATTGAACTGGAAGGCGCTGACGCCGAATCACTGTATTTTGACTTCCTATCCGACTCACGCGCGCGCGCGTTACGTATATCCAGCGCGCAGTGAAGTTATCTAGCTAATCTGATCTAAGCTATTGTATGGTATAGTAAGGGGAAAAGTGGCATTCCGTTGGATTCGAATGTTCACAAGGATTTCTCAACGGAATATGGTAGTTAGGACCCCTACGAACATAATTAGACTTGTTGCCAATTTTGTATCTCAACGGAAACACCACTTTTACCACTTTTTACCACCTTTGTACCACCTTTCTGGTTTGCCAAATATCTTTAGTTGTGAACATCATAGAAGGCTGCAAATTAACCTAGAATGTTTATCTTATCAAGGAGTAAAACTTTTGTATCAAAAAATTTTTACATCGGACAATCAGCTAATTGGATAATCACCAATTAGTAAATCACCAAAAAAAGTGAAAATTTTTTATTGGCTTAAAATGATTGAATTCGTTTGAAACACGGAGAAATGTAGTGTTTAGAAAAACTTCAAAAATTTTTCACTTAAAATTTTTTTTCGAGACTTGAAAAAAAAGTTTGAAAATTTGAAAATATTTTTTTCCGCCAAAAGTGATCGAATTGCATGAAACGTGGATAAAAATGCTTTGCAGAAAAACTTCGAAGATTTTTACATTGGGGAATACTAAAATCATCAATATTTGAAGTTGGAGTTCAGTAAATCTCGACATATTTTAGTAATTAGGAATAGCTTAGCGGAAAGGGCTGGACCTGAAAAAGGTTAACCACACAATATTAGAGTTTCGTAACTAATTACAATACAGCTTTATCAAATTCCACATAAAGAAACAGCACAAAAGGACCATTTAAGATCGAACCGATTTTACCTGCTGTACTATCATTTTATTGATTTCAATGATCAAAACCTCTGTCAATCTTGCCAATCTATACCGGGTATCTGAATGTACCGGACCTCTTATTTACCTCTATAATTAGACCCAGTTGTGCAAGAAATGCGATTTCTCACAGGGGTTTCTTTAAACTGTGCACTTTTTATCACTCTCGCAACTCGCAAGAGGCCTGGTATTATAGGGGGGGTATAGGTCCATAGGAAGCGAGTGTAAATATACCTTCCATCATCCATTGTGGCTTTTTTGTATTGTGAATGCGCATGCCGCTTCGTTTGCTATGCCATATACCTCGAATAACCCCCATATGTCATTGCCAGGGTCGGGATAGAGCTGGAGATAGCATTGAAAAGTTGCTAGAAATAGCTAGATTTAGAGTAAACTGGTGGTAGCTGGGTGGTGCTAGCATGGATGTAGCAGAACGTAGCTACACGGGGTTTCATTGGAGTTGGTTATTTTAATGGCCAAAGAGTGCCGGAACTAAAGTTACTTAAGATTGCAGTTTAGGGGCAGTGTAAACCACGGTGTAGTCAGGGACACAGAGCTACAGTGCAGGAGTACTGCAAAATAACAGTGCAAGTGATACAGTCTGCAACAGTAAAACTCCGAAGAAGGAGATAAGATTGTGGCTGCAGAGGAGGAGAGTAGCTGGAACCTGATTGTGTTTGTGTTGAAAGAAGAGGAGGAAGAAGAGTTTCCTGCTCTGGTAACTGTATTTTTGGAAGAGGTGGGGTGAACTTATTTTCAAGCGACAAGGGTGGGCTGGAAGCAACCAGATACAGCTATCCGACCTATTAAGATCACCGTCCTGAGCTTCACAGCATTTCATCAGAATCTTATGAAAACAGAGAGACTGACCCACCCTTTTTAGATCCAACGAAACCCTTTATATAAATCGACTTTTCTGCATGAATTACTTCATGGTATCTTCTTATCAAGGCTACAGACCTTGCCGTACCGGATTTATTGATCAAAGTGAGTCTCTTTAGCCCTCTTCTTCTTTAGAGCTTTAGGTTAGTGATCAAACTCTTCGCTACTCGCTCTTCACTGGATCTATCAGGACAGATTCACATCTTTTTAGGTCTCAACCAGCCTTAGTTTTCCTGTTTTCATCATGTAGTACGTTCTGCTACCTCCATTTTAGCACCACCCAGCTTCCATCAGTTCACTCTAAGTCTAGCTTCGTCGGCGTTTTACTGTTGCAGACTGTATCACTTGCACTGTTCTATTGCAGTACTCCTGCACTGTAGCTCTGTGTCCCTGACTACACCGTGGTTTACACTGCCCCTAAACTGCAATCTTAAGTAACTTTAGTTCCGGCACTCTTTGGCCATTAAAATAACCAACTCCAATGAAACCCCGTGTAGTTACGTTCTGCTACATCCATGCTAGCACCACCCAGCTACCACCAGTTTACTCTAAATCTAGCTATTTCTAGCAACTTTTCAATGCTATCTCCAGCTCTATCCCGACCCTGGCAATGACATATGGGGGTTATTCGAGGTATATGGCATAGCAAACGAAGCGGCATGCGCATTCACAATACAAAAAAGCCACAATGGATGATGGAAGGTATATTTACACTCGCTTCCTATGGACCTATACCCCCCCTATAATACCAGGCCTCTTGCGAGTTGCGAGAGTGATAAAAAGTGCACAGTTTAAAGAAACCCCTGTGAGAAATCGCATTTCTTGCACAACTGGGTCTAATTATAGAGGTAAATAAGAGGTCCGGTACATTCAGATACCCGGTATAGATTGGCAAGATTGACAGAGGTTTTGATCATTGAAATCAATAAAATGATAGTACAGCAGGTAAAATCGGTTCGATCTTAAATGGTCCTTTTGTGCTGTTTCTTTATGTGGAATTTGATAAAGCTGTATTGTAATTAGTTACGAAACTCTAATATTGTGTGGTTAACCTTTTTCAGGTCCAGCCCTTTCCGCTAAGCTATTCCTAATTACTAAAATATGTCGAGATTTACTGAACTCCAACTTCAAATATTGATGATTTTAGTATTCCCCAATGTAAAAATCTTCGAAGTTTTTCTGCAAAGCATTTTTATCCACGTTTCATGCAATTCGATCACTTTTGGCGGAAAAAAATATTTTCAAATTTTCAAACTTTTTTTCTCGATAAGTCTCGAAAAAAAATTTTAAGTGAAAAATTTTTGAAGTTTTTCTAAAAACTACATTTCTCCGTGTTTCAAACGAATTCAATCATTTTGAGCCAATAAAAAATTTTCACTTTTTTTGGTGATTAACTAATTGGTAATTATCCAATTAGCTGATTGTCCAATGTAAAAATTTTTGATACAAAAGTTTTACTCCTTGATAAGATAAACATTCTAGGTTAATTTTCAGCCTTCTACGACGTTCACAACTAAAGATATTTGGCAAACCAGAAAAGTGGTACAAAGGTGGTAAAAAGTGGTAAAAGTGGTGTTTCTGTTGAGATACAAAATTGGCAACAAGTCTAATTATGTTCGTAGGGGTCCTAACTACCATATTCCGTTGAGAAATCCTTGTGAACATTCAAATCCAACGGAACCCTTAAATCGACCACTTTTCCCCTTACTAGTATTTGCACGTACAGCTGCTGCACTGCACGTACTTAACTAACTGGAGCAACTAGCTAGTATACTGGGCTGGGGTTCGTATTCTGGAAATGAACATGATATTTGAAAGTTATACGAGAAAGTGGTGTGTTCAATGAAGTAAAAATTGTAGATGACCACATTCCAGGCTCGAACACCGGCGTTACTAATTCACTCGCCGGCCAGTGATTCAAGGAAAAACACAAGAGTTTAAGCTATAGCTGACATGACCGGTTGCCGTATCTTGTATGATGTTAAAGATGAATGTCAGAATATTCTATCGGGTATTTGGCATCTATCCAATTATGAAAGCGTACTTGGTGAAACTGCACGTGCGCACTGCTTCCAACCATGACAACGTGCATTTTGAGCCGTTGTTTGCACGAAAACGGTCAGTGCTATTCATATCATCTCTCTTACGCGAAGATACACAACACTACTTCAATGGAACCAAGTTCAATCTTGATTCTTATCGCCATCGTCCTCCTCGGCGTTGCTATTATGGGAGGAGGAACTATGGTATTCTGCTGCCACGGATTCGAACGAGGTCTTCCCTTCATCTCAGTCCGTGAACTATACGAAGAACTGGCAGATTTGGACAGGCGGACCAGTGAACGATACAGGAATTTCGCCCTCCTCGTCAACAACGTGGCTGTTGGGCTACATAAAGAAGCAGCCATTCTCCCTAGCCAGCTGGTGGTTAAAGACATGTCAACTATCATTGACATGGAAGAAGGAAAAGGAACAGTGGGGTGTCAGAGTACCCCAACTCATCATATAATGGTTGCACCTGCCCCAGCTGAGGTGATCATATCTATCCCTGAAGAATAGGAATTACAGTTCTACAACTTCATGGTTACCACTACGAAGTACGAAGAGACATTTTATTAACCATCTCTTGGATTTTAACGACCATTTTAACGATTTTAAAGGCCCACGCAACAAGTCGTGCTTGTGGTCTCAGTGGGGGGAGCAAGATAGTTTTGAACTATCTGCTCTTCGTGCCAGCCTCCCAGTTCTGTTAAACCCTGCCGAGATACAATGCAAGGTATAACAGAACTGGAGGTCCCACTGCCGCGGATCTTATCCGGCTGATGATCCTGGAGTGCGGTCAACTCCACCCCGGCCCTACCTTAACTAAAGCGTTTCCATTGCATTACCCAGTCCATCCTGATTACACCCAACCTTGGCCTTCCCCAAAATTGTATTTTGTACTTTTCTGGTTACTACTAGTACTCATGTACTTTGTCTAGCGCTTTCCATCCAAAGGGGTCCGTTCACAAGCATGTCAGTGGAATACCGGATGGCCAGTAAAACATTGTCAACATTTGATCGAGGCAGTATTAGTTAGGTTCAGTCTCACATATCCCGTAAAATTATCATGATGAGAATCAATCTTAAGTCTTAAAGTTTTTCAAACACACAGTTTTCTAGTCCATTGATTGGATTCGACAATTAAAAAATTTAGATTCTACTTAATTTCACTCTGATAGAGATCAAATTTTAAGGACAAATTGTATATATAACTGTATTTATAACTATTGAAAAATGTTCAATAGATGTAACTTAAAAAATTCGAATCAAAATTGAAAATGATCACTGATCAGGTGGGTTGATTCTTTCATTGCTTCAAAATGGTGATTTTATAGATTAAACGATGTAGCAGTAACGATTAACGTACTATTACGACAAAATAAGAGCCGAGAGGGACAAGCGAATTTGGATCTACCATTCGTCAGATCAGCACGTAAACCTACTTCGTCCGATGTTAACATTGTCCAATGGCCGGTGCTGGCTACAATTTGATGACAGCAATGAATAATGATAACAATTTAAATGTTCGTTAAATATGAAGTATTATTATTAACGATTGTGTTTGTAGTTCACGCATATCAACCACGATTCGGTAATAGATTACAAATCGATTAAGACGGCCACGAAAAGCCTCATTATTTGCTGGCCTCGGAGTTGTCAGTGTATTCTGTGATCCGGTTTTTATTTTGGAATGATAATTCGATCTTACTTTGCACTTTGGCATAACCACATGGTCTGTTTAAGAATGTTCCCGAACCACAGGATGCAGCTGGGTTTTGTGTATTATGTAATTATGTAATTAGCGGTATAATTGATCAATATCTATCTAAATACCAGGAAGATATAAGTATAATACTGTTACCATTAAAGTATTAAATATCTCTGTATAAGGTAATAATGTTCACAAATGTTATTACATTACAACATCAAGAATATTAAGCAACTGCATGGTCCCAATTCATCCGCATAGCGTTTGCTACCATGACAACACCTATCATTTGAAATAGGATATTGAATTACTGGACCCATTTCTTTCTAAGAGCGTCTCGAATGTACGGTATTTATTGATCTTTCTGTCAGAACTTCCAGTAAAAACCACTCGTTATTATTAGGCCCAAACTCGGGAGGGCGTTCATTTAGTAATTTTCTTGATTATACTTGTTCGAAAGATATGCTAACCGTATCGTGAAACATGACAGAATTGCCACAGGATGTAAGTTGAATTTTGCTACTTTTGTTATTAAAAATCCAGTAGCAGAAGTATTATCACTATTATGTTAAAAGTTGTATTCGATGTTACAGTTTAATAATGCTCAGTACCTTTATTCACAGTGCTGTGTACACTTGCTTAGCTCGACGAAAATAGATCCTCTCCAATATTTTAACTGGAATTCAATTTGTGACGTAATTGTGGAACACTCATGTTTACTCATCTGTCACGTGACACGCGGTACTATGGTACTAGGTCGTATCTGCACAGTTGCAGGAGAGTTGCAGGAATTGCCTTAGCCGTTAATAAGCAGTTAGCATAATTTAATACTTGATGGTGGCCGAAGTTAGTAAACAAACACAGACATTACATTTAGTTCTTGTATGATTGGCTAGTAAACTATTAAAGAGATAGGCTGAAGAATGCTAGAGCGCAAATACACCATGTTGACCACCTTTGGCTACACATCAACTAAACACAAAAATCAATCTTCAAATTGCCGTCAAAGCCGTGTTTGCTTGCGCTCCAACTCAATGCCGTGTTACTGTTTAAAAGTTAAAATCATTAACTATCACCATGAAACAGTTTTGTACAATCAAATACGCTTCAGAGCTTGTAAAAATTTCCATATGCTGGCCTTTTTCACAACGGTAATTGTTCGACTTTATTTTATTTTTCAACTATGAATTCAGAATGTTACAGTGCCTATTCTTGTGAGCTGCTTGTTAACAGATATAAAATATTCCATGTTAGCACTAACTACTAACTAGGACTAGCCAGTAACACCAATTTCAGAGCTTTTTGACCGAGCTAAAGGACGAAGACGACGATGAAGCACAACAATTACCACCCCCACCCAGTAACCATGACAACGGACAGTTTGTTACTCCTGACCCGGATCCTAAACTGTTAAAACATCTGAGTGTGCTGTATGAGGACTTAGAAGAGGGAGACGATACTTCCTTCCCTATCAACAGTCACCGGGTAGGAGTATTACTTTTACTGTCATAATATGTGACCACATTTTAGTCTAATTCGAGTAATCTGTATACCAACCAAGTAGCACAAGTTTCTTATAGAACTAGAATGTATTTAATAGATTCACTATCTAAAACCCTGAAATCTGGCAGAGAGTACCATCAGAGACAGGTTCAGAGTATGATACAGATCTGGAAGACACAGAGTCGCCCAAGAGGACAGAGTACGACTCCTCGGGTATAGGGGACTACCTCAAGGTACACTGCATAACTGATAGTTAGGTATTTCAATCTAGGCACAACTTGAACTGACTTATCGTGTTATACTAAACTTATGAGCAATATTATGTCATGGTTCTACATTCTACAACTACATTCCTCAGATTTGTGAAGATATGAACATGAGACCAGTTTCACACTTCATGAGACAAACAAAGAACCCCAGCTTGTCCCTGAGGTACCAATCACTCGGCTGCAGGAAAACTGTCGCGATTACTCAAGCTCTGACGGTAAGAAATTTAGTGCAATATTTTATATCTCTTAGACAATCGTAAATTCCCACCAGTAAGATTTGCAGATTGTAGAGCCAAGTATTGAGAAACAATGGTATTACATGTAGTAGTATATTACTGATCGCTCTGTTTTATTCAGAGTAATACGTTTGTTGAGTGTTTGGACCTGAGTGACAATGACATAGGTTGTGATGGAATGGTATCTATAGCTCACATGCTCACTGAGAACTACTTTATAACCGAGCTCAGTAAGTTCTCAATCATATTACTTTTCATCAATCAGTAAACGTATAAACATTGAACTAATAATACTGATGAGAGCTAATATATCAGTGTGTACTAACACTGTCCAGGTCTGGAAGATAACAAGATAGGGTTGAGAGGAGTGGCGACCTTGTGTGATGTGCTCTCGGAACACAGCTACGTAAAACATCTCAACTTGGCTGGGAACGGGCTGAATGACCCAACTGCTGGGGTGCTGGGGCAGATGCTCAAAGTTAACTACACTTTAACTTGTCTCAATGTCAGACAGAATCAGTTCAGGTAGGATAGTGAAACTAAGTTGTCAGAACCACTTGATCAATCATCAAGCTCTCTTCTTACTTTTTAGGATATGTTAGGCCTGATAAGATGCTGAATAATGTTTGTATCTGCAGTTGTCTTGGAGCTAAAGCGATAGCTGAAGCGTTACTTAGCAACGATTCCTTGAACGAGCTAGACATCAGCTGGAACAAGATACGGTCGAGAGGAAGTGAAGCGATAGGGAAGATGGTAGCGACTAACACTGGCCTTATCAGTCTTAACGTATCTTTCAACGGTCTTGACGCCCTTGTAAGTTTTCTAGCATAAACAACGTTCTATCATGCCTCATTTAGTTTGAAATATTTTCCAGCTTTTTTTCCCCAACTAATTTAACTTATCCGAATTAATAAATATGTGTGAAACTCTCTTCAGGGTGCTGCAGCTTTCACGAAAGCAATTAAGACTAATTCACAGCTCGTCAACTTGGATCTAATGTAAGTTTTCAACTATTAGAGTTACACTAAGAGTTACACTAAAAACATCTTGATAATTGTACCATATCATACATAACATGTTTTATTCAAATGTTAGAGCAAATAACAGTACGGATGGACGTGATTTAACAAAGAAAATAATCTATAAACATTCAGTAACAATCCATGTTCACTGAACTGCGCATTATTCGTGGCCGTTTCAACTTATGAATTTTGACAAAATTAACCCAACAATCAGAAACACGCGGATACCAGGATCTGAGTGTAAAGAACTAGGAAAAGCTCTAGCGCTCAATACCACCCTCAAGATTGTCAAACTGGGAAACAACCCGTTTAAAGAACCTGACATAGAGCTTTTGTTCCACGGGTTGACCACTACTTCACTTTATATAATTGGTCTCGAGGTGAATCTTATTCTATCTGATAAAAAAACGTTCGTTTTTGGTATCTTGTACTATCAGGAGGAATTATCAATATGATGAACAGATTTTTATTACGAATTATGGAATGTTAATCTCGGACTTCGACTGATTGCAGGACATACCTCTGAGTAAGGGATTATACGAAAGGCTACAAGAGTTTGAAAAAGAACAGAAGGTTGTTATACACTACGGTAGATCAGGAGGTAACCAACGATCCAGACCAATGACAAGGTTTGTTAATATAATAGATAGTTTTGTAACGAGATAATGAAAAACATCTTAATGAATCGTAGATTACAAGTTACGACTGCTAATAAACTCAAATCTGCAGTTCAGCACTCCGACTAGACGAGTTTATCACGACAAATCTCAGTAAGCTCGCCCCCCTGGTCCTTGCGAAAGATAAGGTAAACGGTTGCTTATCAAGATTCAGGAGCAAATAGATTAAGATCATTTGGGCGATTGCGCCAAGATAAGAGTACATTTTCTACAGGATCAGGAGGATAAATATAATCCATGAATCTCAGGATAAAACGGGACAGCTGACAGTATCAGAATTTAAAGAATGTTTGCAAGAAGCTGGTCTAAGACTGCGACAAAACGAACTAAACAGATTAGTAGATAAACTTAATCTGAGAGAGGACCAGGTGCCACACAAGTGAGTAACCACGTGATATTAGTCACTCTTACATTGGTATTGATAATAGAAAAGTAGAAAAACCCATTTCAACCTATTGCACTGTATCCAGTTTGTAGCGCAGTAAAATAAAACGTGTAGTTAAAAAATATTCGGGATATGGCAAGTTATGATAATAACAGCCATTATTTTCAGGGAAATACTGATGGGAAAGATTCCTTCTGTCTTGGAGCGCATGAGAAATTCTGCAAAACAAAAAAGAGTGAAAGTGAATACTGAAGAAAATGAGGATTCATTCTAAGGTCACCAAACATGCAAAGGCACGATCACTTATGACATGAGTAGAATTGTTTAGTGAAAGGGTTTTTCTGCCCCATTGATATCGGTGAGTGGTGACCACACAAGAAGGATTAGAAGAGCGACGATGAAGACGAAACGGGTGCAGTAATTTGATAAAAGGAAGACACCAAGGAGTGTAGCTGACTAGCTTAGTTCAGGGCAGACAAGAGAGAGTTTACATTGGTAGTAGTTGACAGAGTTTCGGATGGTCATAACCAAGCAGATATTATCAGAGATGTGTTCAAATTCCGACATGATAAAGCAGAGATATTCTGACTTTTAAACATGGTTATTTATAATTTAAGATGTTATAAAATCTTTGTTTTATTTTGCAAAAATTCATAGAATTTAAACCACGATATATCCGTTTCATGAAAACTCCAAATAATTTATACAAAATGAATAACACAGATCGAAATTTGACGGATCACAGAGGGAGTAGGGAAACAGTTTGTGTGAACGAGTAGTTTTTATAATGTTTGCTACCGGCTACTGAAAAACCTTCGTTGGCATCTGAAGACCTTAGTCCATACCACTACTCTGTTGGAACTTGATTAATAGCTGATCTGGCAGTCCCTCTGTAGCTCCTGAAAAAGTTAGATCGGTTAGAGAAGTAGCTAATTAAAAAGGACTTGGTAAACTAATCTTGGTCGAGTGATCATTCGTGCAATCATTCGTGATCATTCGTACAACTAAAATAATCAAAATACAGCTGCATTGGTCAAAATTTGCAGGAAACATCACATAATAAATCTGAAAAAATTTAAGTTAACCGTAAGTAATGGTGAACAGCAACTCACCTATTCCAACGAGAACGGGGTCCCGATCGTACACATATTCTCCGACAACCTTCTTCAGCACACTAGGGGTTACAGCTTCAACCCTGGCATCGATCTCAGCAAGGGGTATTCTCCTACCGTAGGTGAGCATTTGTCTACCTATATCCTCACAGACAGCAGTTGAACCGTCACACTGGGCGAGCAGCAGAGTTTTCAGCAGGTTCTTAGCTCGCTGCACTTCTCCGGGACTTGCAGAGCGGAAGATTCTCCTCCATTCGGATTGGATTGCACCGATGAACTTTCGGACGGCATCCTCATCCGGCTCACAAACACCGTATACTCCTGTGGGGTCATGTTTTAGAGACCTATAATATAATATGTGTTCTCTATTGCAAAGCCGGGTTACTAGGAATTCCATCGTAATTTGCAAAAATATTTATAGTTTACCGAAGAGTCCAGTATCTTTATAACAGGTGTTGAACGCCATGTATGACTGAGGGTGTTTTTGTTCGTACACTTTTCTTGCGAAGGCGCTAGGCATTGTCCTTCCTCCACCCTGGGCCCTGTTCCAATTGCCGATCAACTGAGGGAAGAGTGATTAAACTTGGTTTCCATCAAATGTTAAATTTGTTGCTTACCAGCAACTATATTTACTCTACAGTGATTCCCACACTATATAATGACAACACTATATAACGGCCAGGTAGCGCAGTTGGTTAGAACGCCTGTCTTACAATCGTTAGGTTGCGAGTTCGAAACCCACTGACTGCCTGGTCGTGGGGTGAGCGTCGTCGACGTTCAGCTAAGGATCATGAGTGGTCTATGCAGCCCCCCGGTCTACTCAGCCGAATACTCGAGAAATCGGGTGTGAGGGTTAAATGAGGAGCTGCACATTGCAGCAAAGTCTCGGACGAAGAAAGTATGGTACACACTACCTTAACCGTCACTGGCCAAAAAGATCCTTCGGCTTCCTGTGATTGGCTGGTTGCACTTGTGTAACATTGTGGCTGTTGGAATACACCGAAGTAAAATAAGTGTCTAGATAAAAAAAAATGACAAGCACTTTATAATGACTTGTCACTATATAGTCCTGTCATTACAAAGTGCGTTTTGCACACTATATAATGACATGTGAGACGGCTGCGAATTTACCTAAAAGGATGTGACCCATGCCTTCAAATGGTAAGGTCGCGTAACATCGAACGTGCCACAGATCATCACTAGCTGATCCGTCATCTCAAATATTTTAAGGCAAGCTGTGGAAAGGATGTGATCCAAGTACTCAAGTGGAAACATGAGTACTTGTTGGAGCTCGTTGGTGTCGTTGGAGCTTGTTATCATGTGGTGGTACTCGTATATATAGGGCTCAATGAAGGACAAGCTATATCAATCATGGCTACTCCTTCTGTTGAATACACTACTGGTAAACGAGGAAAGGACAACGCTCTCGTGGATGGTCAACGCTACACCTTAAACAGAAAGAGGAACGGAACTGACGGAAAAGTAAGGAAAAGTCGATATAAGATAAACTTGTCACTATATAGTGTTGTCATTATATAGTCCGTTTTGCAGACTATATAATGACAAAGATCAGCTGTCATTACAAAGTGCTTGTCATTATATAGTGTTGTCATTATATAGTGTGATTACCCTCTACAGTACAGGATACAGGATACTAGAAACTGTTTTCCCTTCCACAAAAACATATACTTTTGCGGATACCATAATTTAAATAATCTACCAAAAAAGAGTTATGCTTCTTGTAACTAGGCCTAGACTAAGACAAACTTTAGATAAAACCCATTATGACACAAGTTAGTCACAATCTGAGCTTTTCGCTGAACTTACTCGCGTTTTGTTGAATATAAACCTTGGTATAAGTTTTCAGAATTCAGAAAACACTATGAAGCCATGCTGACACTTGCATTTTATAGGTTACGGCACGGCGTGCCCATGAGAAGATTGGCTTATTATTTCCGATATCCGGGGTGAGAGTTTAGGGTACTCAGTCTCGCTATCAAGTGCGGGACCAGTGTAGTTCACCACGATACAAATTTTTAGCAGTAGGTATGGCACAGAGATTCATAGATAACGAAATGAGTTAAACTGATTGTTAATATTTCTAGGCGAATGGAAGCCACAAAACGTAGGGGCACTCATGGACATGTCTAGTTAAGGTGTTATAATAGGTTGTAGGGATAAATACTCCTCTAGCCAAGATGCTCATTCTAGGGTGGGTCACTGAAGATCAGGGGGAAAATCATCATTGGTTTGCTACTCACAGTATTGGCGATCATCATAGCGAAGTAATCAGGGTTTGTCCAGCTGCAACCTTCTACAGCCAGAGCTACGTGAGCGAGACCCATTGCGTCATCTCTGTTGTTCATCTGAGGAAATTATCAAATTAATAAACGGTTTAAACTTTGAACAAGTCCAGTCTCAAACATAATTTGTCCAATTTGGAAGTTCTAGAGTGCAACTTAAGTCGAAATTGTAAACATAAGTTCTATCTTTTACTGACTAACCGTAGATCCGGAGTATCTGGCTGCAGGATATTCGACCTCTGAAACGTTTGTAGTTTGCATATCCCCGAAATGTTTCTCAGCCAGTTTGACCAGTTCCGCATGATCTACTCCTCCAGCTGCTGCCAGATAAATCTGGTGTGGTTGGTAGTGGCGACCAATGTAGTCTAACAAATCCGCTCTGAAGTCAAATCAGATGTTAAACACCAGGTAATCAATAACACTTCCTTAATATTATGTATAAGGATAACCGACAGGTACAGTGTTTAACAGGATATATCTTCCGCAAACTTTAATTTACTGCGACTTATAAAAAATATGGGAAATATGTAGCCAAATATGTAGCTTCCGTGTTTGTCCTGATCTTGGTGGAACCCTGGAACTATCTTTAAGCACGGAAACACTCAACTACCAGTATTTTTGAATTATCGCACTCATGTCAGGTAGAAGCCGGAAAAAATAATGCTCGTATATGTAACTCTAGAGAATTCAAAATTACGTCAAACAAACACACTGACGTGATTTAGAATTCTTAAGAGTTTCATTATGTGCGTAGTGTGACATGTTTCCGTTATTTCCTTAATAAATAACACGAAGGTAACTTCCGGTATGAATCATAACCACTGTGCAGGCGCCCGTTAGTTGACTGCAAACACTCAAATTAATAGAAAAAGACAAACGTATGTTACCTATCAATAGATTTGATGTTTTCGGTAGGTCCAAGTATGTTGTAGCTTAATGGGGTTCCTTGGTAGGCAATAGCGTGCAGGTGATCGAATATCACTTCCTGTAGGTTCGTTTCCACCTCCTAAGGTTCATTAACGGTTACCTCATTAACTGTTGTAATTGACATGATAATAAGAAAATCAATTACCATTCAATTACGAATGCATTCCCGTCGTTACAAAACTTTAATAGAGTACGCGCGCGTCGACAGAACTGCGCGCGTTTGGCGCAAAAATACCGTGCCCTTGGTTTAACAAGAGTTGATTCGGCGTTAGCGCCTTCCGTCAATTAAAAGAACTCCTCGTACTTTTTTGCTCTGAAAATACCCAACTATCCCCTTCAACTTCTTAACCTCGCTGTGCGAAGGTGATAGAAAAATTGGAAACTGGTCACGAACGATAACGGGGTTACTTAAAAGCAGCATGTCATAGCAAGTTTTTCATGCAGGGACCGTTTATGTTTTTACGTCATCAAGATTTCGCCATTTTAAAATCCCCCTCCGTCAGGAAGTTGATAAATAACAAATTAAAATACGTCAGCTTATTTTCCAATTTCTAAACCCCCTCCCCCATAATCGTGACATAATATACGAACCCTCCCTTATTGTGTTTAATCTCATCCGTAAATCGTAAATCAAAATTATTATACGATAATAAAATTCACAGAACGTTAGTCTGTATTCCGTAATCTTGATTTTAGTGACGAAAGAGGATCGACAAAATCCACAATCTGTGCAAAATGGAGCGAGCATTCATGCAGCATGATGTCAAGATAATTCATGAAGACAGGTGACCTACAAGAATAGAGGTATAATCCCGTGCAACAATAATGTTTCTCGCATGTGTCCTACAATTTCCTCCATACAGTTGGATTTGAAACTTGAAAGGACATAAAAATGAGCAAAACAAACGTCTAGACCATATTATTTCAACGGGTGCGTTGCAATACAGTGTGGAAAATTAGGCTGGGGTACCAGCAAGTTTTACAACTAGTTACATTTTCTAGCTCTTGATATGTCTTATATAACTTTATAATAAATTACCTGCATCTCCCTCAAAATGACGTGTCGTTCCCTATCGATAGCTCCTTCATCAAGTCTTGGGTTCTGCAAGATATCAGCTAGGATATTCATGGACCTGTCCACATCTTTAGCAAAACACTTTGCGTAATAAACAGTTTGTTCCCGAGAAGTGTAAGCGTTAAGATGAGCTCCCATGTTTTCTACTTCTAATTCTAGTTCGTGTTGTGTTCTGTTGGATGTACCCTGAAAGAATGAGATTCAGTCAGTTACCATTTAAATCACTATCACAATAGTTAAGAGGTTCTTTTCTTGCGCCAAAAAACAAATGATTATGTCTATATTATTAATCAAAATGCTCGAAAAAGTTCCAGCAGCCACGATCCCACAGGTATAAAATAAAACCATCATTTAAAAGTTTAATCACCTTAAAAACGAGATGCTCTAAGAAATGAGCGACACCATTATTTCCGGCATTTTCCCAGCGACTACCAGCGTTGATCCAGAGTCCGACAGTGGCAGTAGGAGTGTCAATGTACTCACTACACACATGTAGTCCGTTGCTCAGCGTAGTCACTTCGGTCGGGTTTATGTTTAGTAGGGACTGAGGAAATTAGTTTATTGATAATTCGTACCTTGAGTATTAAATATACGGCAATTTTTGTAGTGTTGTCAAATCATGATGGTTGCCTCATCTTCGAAATTACGTCATCATTAAAATTCACACTCTCTTTTCAATTTTTTGAATGTCTTAGTTACATCAGTCACGATTTCGAAAGCTGACTCTATCGTGATATGACAACACGATAGAGTGCACTATCATGTCGAAGAACTTACTTTTCGATAAGAGTCAGAGGTTACTATAGGGGCAACAACAGCTTTACTGCTACTACATCTTGCTTGTACCAACTTACGCAGTGGGCGCGCAAGTACACTTTGCAGCCGAGAACTTGACATCCTACCTGTATTAAACATTATCATCAGATTTATGAACAATATAATAGGGTATAATACCATTCCATCAGATCTTATACTTGCTACAATTAAATTTATCGGAACAATCGTTGATGATCACAAAGGCTTGGCCTCGATTTTGATTAGAACCGGAAAAAGGTTTGCCATATAGCTGTGGTTTTTACCCGTGACACATAATACAATTTGTTAATGATTTAATGAGTCAGTACTCTGTTAGGTCACATAGGTAGAATAGTACCACGCTTCAATGCCATCAACTGATTATCATATTATGGAATTGCATCATGCGCTAGGTCATGTTGCGTTACTATATAATATTGTGCTCTCTGTACTCAATGCACAATAGTTATTGAGATAAGATAATGACTTCCTACAATTAGAGATGCAATGTGAAACTAAAAGTGATCTAGGTAAGTAGCCTAGAACTTGGTTTAGTATCACACCATGTGATATAATCATTGTTAATGTACCACATTAAACTGAACATAATGGGTGAAATGTACGCCGGAGCAGTGAAGAGTATACCTCAACTACCTGTGTACCAGGAAATGAATGATGCCCAGATATCTTGGTATCTGAATACCAGTAAAATATCAACATACCGCATACATAAATAGTACATACCATGTCATGTTGATATGCAAACTATGTAGATGCAGTGGTCGCAGTTTAACATCATGACGGTACAATTACATAACAGAAGTAGTTTGTGACTTAAGGGGGCCGGGGGGGGTCTTCATCAAAATTCTCTCGAAATCGACTTTATAGTTGTTTCTGATAGAGGGGAGTGATATCTATCAGCTGCTTTTGGTCCCATGGAAAAATATTGTTCCTAGCCGAAATTATCGCTGGTCAAAGGTCATCGCTTATGTGTAATTGTATTGCGCGAGCGATTTTCAATCGCGCGTTCTGAAAATCGAGTCTAAAAATCTATCTTCTCCTACATTTTTTGAGCAATCACCCTCAAACTTTCAGGATATGTTCTTAGGATCAGTAAGAAGAGAACTCTAGAGCCAGAATTTTGAGTTAGGCCTTTAAAGATTTTTAATTCGATTTTGAAATTCTTGGACCTTAATTTTTAGAGGTCCAAGAATTTCAAAATCGGATTAAAAATCTTTAAAGGCCTAACTCAAAATTCTGGCTCTAGAGTTCTCTTCTTACTGATCCAAAGAACATATCCTGAAAGTTTGAGGGTGATTGCTCAAAAAATGTAGGAGAAGATAGATTTTTAGACTCGATTTTCAGAACGCGCGATTGAAAATCGCTCGCGCAATACAATTACACATAAGCGCTGACCTTTGACCAGCGATAATTTCGGCTAGGAACAATATTTTTCCATGGGACCAAAAGCAGCTGATAGATATCACTCCCCTCTATCAGAAACAACTATAAAGTCGATTTCGAAAGAATTTTGATGAAGACCCCTCCCCCGGCCCCCTTAAGCAGAAAACGAAAATTACATCAATAGTTCGGTATATATAATAGCTTGGAAATCATGATATGTTTCAAAGATTTCCTACAGCTGACTTAGTAAAACGACGCAATTTTCAAGCACAGCTTGGTGAATTTTATAATTTACAACAAATTCTCATTTCTTCGATACAAATATACATTTTCGACTTCAAAATAAATATGATATATCATTATAAACAATTGATGAGGTAAAAGTTAAGATACTAAATGATGTCAAAAGCTTTCGTTTTGGGTGACGAAAAACATAAAGAAGAAAAAATATTCAGTGAATTCAATTCCCTTTAAAATTCTATGAAAAAGGGTGGTGAAAAAATATATTAAACCACCGGAAATGATAATGATAATGTATACCTTATATCAAAGAAAAAGGTAATATAAAAGAGAAATTCGCAAGACATGTAAAACCATGTCAAAAATAAATAATTTGATGAGCAATTAATATTTATAGAAGTTCTAGCCAACTAAAGACAATAAAGACGTAGGTTAGGTTAGGTTAGATGTGTAACAATAGCAGAAATATCAACGATCCTTTTTGGTTAAAACAATCAGCTAATATATCAATCTTTTTAGTTGTTCAACGGTTTGATTACAAGAAAAATAAGCAATATCCAGCAACGATCATAATAAACAATCGTCCTAACGTTCAACTCTGTGATCATAAGAATGAACACACTGACTTTAACAGAAAGTTCAACTGACACAGGATCTAGACTCCGGACTGAGGTATGTAGCGATAAACTGAACCACTCCTAGGGCGCTCATATTAGTAGCTATTTCATTAAACCTCGTGTCTTCGTACGGATCTGAGAACCCACACACGCTCTTGATTGAGACAGAGGGTGTCTCGGTTTTGACACACATACTGTAGAGATGCAGTGTCTCAACATCACATCCCAGCAAACTCTGTAAACAGGGAGACACGTTAGTTTCCGGTATAGTCAATGTCACTTGTACAATACATAGTTTAAATTTCAACAGAAAATTCTGTTTAAACAACAGCTGATGAATATCAAATATGTGAATAACTCTTCAGAAACCGATTAAACTCAACATAGCATACCTCAGGACAGAGTTTGAAGCGAGTGAAGGCGTCTCCAGGTGTATAAGGAATATCAGAAGGACTCAGAGACCCGATATGTAACTTGGGGCTCAGTTTTCTCTTGCGAAGATGTATACTATCAGGAGACATGGCTGACACTGACGCCTGGAATGTGTGTATTAATAGTGTTATGTTAATAATTTTATTGTTACCAATATTTAGGGGAGGATGTACTATGTATAATGTAGTACATGTATATTACGATACTGAATGAGAGAAGATTGAATTACGCCGTTTGTACGGAGACTAGCTGCAAAAACAAAACTTAAAAAGTCCGGAAAATAACTTTAAATCCAAACGGAAACACGAACCTTGAGGTTGATGTCTGGATCAAGAGTATCTGTTATAGGATCATAGACTAGTGTCATATTAGCTGAATGTAGACACGGGTACTTTGCCGAGTAGATCTTCATATTCTCGATGAACCCAGAGTAATCGTGTCCCAGTCCGTGATTGTAGTTTATTTGCTTCAACCAGTGAGACTCTGTTGGTTTTTCCTGAATGGTCAAACATCAGAATAATTTTAATTTATACAATTCAGTGGTTTTGATTTACTGAATGTGAGCTTAATTTTCAATAATCTGTCAGTACAGGGATATTCGCGAATTAAATAGTTGAATATATTATTGATATCTTATCTCTGATTAGACGAATTACTTCTAGTAATTTTATTTCTTATCGTTATTTAAATTTTAAAAGCGATTGATATTTATAAAGCAGTCATTGTGTCATAAATAGATGTGATGAACTGAAAATCAAGATTAATTTATTACTTACTGATTTGACCTCCATGATAAGCTTGCTGATCCACAGTAAAGTTTGGGAGGCAGTTCGAGCAGGGGGTTTTGGCAGGAGTCCAGGTAACTTCCACAGTGCATCACCAGTTGCATCGCTCTTCTGTATCGTCTGTAGGAGGGACGTCACTTCGTTTGTTACGGAATATGTGACGTTTCCAAGAGAAGTGCTTTCTGATATCACCAGATCGCACAGGTTTACCTGAAATATAAAATGTTTACAGGTTTTGTTGGAACCTGTTTGTGTTATTACCGAATCTAACACGTTTCTTGGAATACAAATAAGTAGATCAGATTTAAGATGTTGATAAAAAATCAACTTAATCCTATACTAAGATTCATAAACTAATTTAAAAAGAGTAACTTGTCATGAAATAAAATGTAAGCACTTTACCTTTCCTCTTACACCATGGCAAAGCCCAGAAGAAATTACCAAATGAGGATTAAAACGATTGATAGAGTCTTGCAGACATTTGTTGAAATCAGATATAGGATTGCAGACTATAATAATAGCATCTGGCAGTGTGACGAAGTGAAATTCCATATCCTGAAGTGAGCGCAGAGAACTTGTGTTCGATTCTCCCTCTAGCAACTTTCCAATTCTGCTTTGAATCAGGTTACTCTGTTGTCTATTTCCAGTGAGAACTAGAATTGTTTTCCTGTTTTCAAATACCTGCTTGTCAGGGTTAAGTGTTAAACTCCCTGGCTGAATCCAAGCTTCAAAATCGTTTTTCGAAGAACAGAGTTGAATAATATCCGACACTTTTTGTAGTATGACTGGAGCAGTTGGTCTGATGTTGTGATCTTCAAAACATGATTGAGAAATGTTCAGGAATTCCTTGGCAACAATTTCGGGCCATTTTACACCCTCAGCTGATATAATATTCAATGAGTCACCATTACCACTCAACTTCTTTTCAATCAAACCTACTAGAGATTGATTTTGATATCCTCTATTAGGATCAAACGCACTAAGATTAGTAATTAACTCTAACATCAGTACTCCATAACTGAAAACATCTGTTTTTGTGGATATATTCCCTCTAGCAGCTTCAGGTGATATGTAACCCATAGTTCCCTGTAACCGATTTGTTTGGACAATACTGTTAGAATGATCGGATCCCAATCTGGCTAGACCAAAGTCACCAATCTTAGCCTGATAATCATTTGTTAGCAGAACATTGGCCGATTTTAAGTCTCTGTGTATCAATGGCTTGTCAGATGCTGTGTGTAAAAACACCAACCCTTTAGAAATGTCATCAGATAGGCGCAATCTTGTATCCCAAGGAATTTGACTTGCCTCTGGAGAAGCAAGGACGCTTGCGAGAGAACCTTTTTCCATATAATAATACACTAGACAGGGTGCCCTAGGATCAAGTGAATATCCGACTAATTCTAACAGGTTTGGATGCCTATATTTAGACAAAGTTAAAACTTCGACAGCAAACTGACTTAGTCCAACTGAGCGAGCATGCATGTCATTGTTCAGATTCAACTTTTTGATAGCAAAGGTTGTATTCTTCAAATCACCCTTGAAGACAGTCCCAAAAGACCCCATACCTAATTTACACCCACCGGTAAGTGTACAGTCACTGAAATTGCCAGTAGCCTGACAAACTTCATTGTAACTGAATTCGATCAGGCCTTTGTTCCGCAGGGCAGGTAGTATGTCATCTGTCATTGACTCTTTCTGTTGGGCAACAATGGAAAGACTCAAATCACTTGAATTTCCTTTGGCAACAGTTGGGTCAAATTCATTATTTTCCTGATCAATGTACTTCATAATTGAACGAGCATCTGGATAATGAGATCTGGGATGATTTTGAGGTGCACTATTCACCACTTTTGGTTTCGGTTTCATTTTTAAGTTATTGGCAAGAGATTTTGATACCTGCCCTGATGTCTTAAGAAACTGAAACGCCTCCTCATTTTGCATTTTGTAAAATAGAGTGAAAAGTTCATCAATGTTTCTTCCGGTCATAGAAAGATCAGTGAGCAAACTTCTAGTTGGACTGCCATCCAGCTGCATTAATTTTCTTTCAAAACCTGCTATGTCTTTAGCATTATATAATTCCAACCGTTCAGCAAGGCCACGCCAATTCTGCCGGGGATCTTTGCAGGAATCTAGAATCTGACACAAACCACTGATGCATGAATAGGGAACATCACTAATTTTCTTGGGTGCCATAATTACATTTACATGTAAACCTGAAAGTATTTCTTGACGTTATCAAAAATATTTGCAAAGAGCTCCAGGCAATATATTCTCAACTGCTTTTCATTGTGTATAAATTATCAGGCTTAACGGCCCTAACGTTAATGTGACTCTTGCTATGTGTTGGTTCAGCCGAATTAATTATTATGTCATCAAGTTTATTTTTCTTTTTTAGTTAGTTGTCATCCGGCCAAACATTAAGCAACTTATATTGCAGTACCATTTATGAATTAGTTTATCGAAATATGTCATTGTAATTTTGCATGGCTGAAATGTAACGCTTTATTTATAAATATAATAATTAATTGAATTTTCAAATAAAAAATCAACTCTGATTCAACTTTTAAAGACCGCCACTGTCGTGGCCTTGCACAAGAAGGGGTCAGTACACAACCCTAATGAATATAGGCCGGTGTCACTGACTTGTATCATGTGCAAGACTTATGAGAAACTTCTTAGGGAGTATATACTCTATGGTGTTGAGCAGCTGTTGAGCAGGAAGCAGCATGGTTTCATGAAAGGCAGATCTTGCTTATCTAACCTCCTGGAGTCCAATGTCCATAGATGCCGTCAATGATTTGTTGGCAGAAGGTGGTTGTGCAGATATACTCTAATTCGACTTTTCTAAAGCGTTTGACAGTGTACCACACTACCGGTTACTAATTAAGCTAAAGAATTTGTGGATTCCCGAGGATATTATTGATATCATTGAGAACTTTTTAGTTGGGAGGTCAATGAGAGTAAAAGTAGGTGATGAATTTTCTGAAATAAAATTTATACTTTCAGGAGTACCACAGAGAGGATGAACACCCGGGAACAACAAGCTGAGGTCCTTCAGAAAGTTAAAAGAAACCTCGAGCATGAAAGGGAAGTTCAATGCGGCTCTCTTGAGATGCAGTCAAGATGGGGTCAGTGAAGGGAAGAGGTTATGAAGACGGACATGAGCTGGCACACACTCTTTAAGTATGGTCCGGTGATTCGCTCACAGGTTTTATGCTCAGTGCGACTTACGGTACTGTGGTCACACCAGCCTTAGCATCGAAGTGGAATGAAGAAGAGGATGGACTTTGCAAGCTGTTTGAGGATAGGGCAGGGAGCATACAACACATTATATCCGGTTGTAGGGTCTCGCTGAGCCAAGGGCGTAACAGGTGGCGGCATGATAAGGTTCTCAAACAACTAACAGACCACGTGACTTTCCATTGTGAACGCCGAGTGAACACCTCTAAGAATAGAGTGAAGGAGACTAAGCAATGTATTGATTTTGTGCCTGAGGGAAGCAAGAAGGTTCCAGCGAAGAAGAGTGCAGAGGGTAGTTTTGGTATCCTGAGTGCATCTCGGGACTGGGTGGTGATATCTGATCTTGATGAGCAACCGAAGTTCCCAGAGGAGATTGCCAAGACACGGCTGAGACCGGACCTCTTAATCTTTTACCGGTCAGCCAAGAAGGTGATGTGGTGGGAGTTAACCTACCGCTGCTAGGAGGATAGGGTTTGGAGGAAGGGAGTTGAAGATGTTGGTTAGGGAGAGTGGTAGAGAAGCGGTCCACTGTTCCAGATGGATTTATTTGTTGTCGAGGAAAATGGAATGGGAGTTTAGGAAGGTAGGAACTTAGGGAACACTTACAGCTAGAAGAACCATAACGTTATCTTGTCGTCAATTGCGAGGCCTAACAGGTTACTTCAAGTGTTTGCCTTGTCGGAAAGTGGTCTGAGATCAGACTGCTGGGTTGACGGATGTTACTCGTCTAAATTTCTTCGAAGTAGCGCGCGCCGCTTTCTTCTCGAAATGTTGGCCCGATGGCAAGAGCTACGAAGTAGCGCGCGCCGGGTCAGATCATTAACAATGGTCAAACTGTTGGGGCGCCTGGTACAGAACCGTCCTGCTATTAAAGCCCCGAAACGGGTACCAGGTTTGTGGCAGATGATTCCGATTGTCATACGTTGTATGACCCGCCGCGCACGAAGTGCGCGGCTCCCCCTGTATCGTCAGGACGATAACACCATAGTGAAACGACCGTGGGGGTCGCAACGTGATACAAGATTCCGATTAGTAGAGGCTCTAGATGAAAGTTCTGGTGAGGGAGAGATGTTTTGGTGAGAAAGTAGTTGGTATGGGAGTTTGATTGGTGTGGTGTTTGGTTGGTTGTGGTGTGGTTCCTAGTGTGGTTCGTTTTTTTGCAGTTATAACTGTGTTTCACCCCCATACCATCCAATTTCATAACATTTGCGGTCATATGATCTGGTAACCAATCAACTATTCACGAACAACTGTTCACGAACACTTACTGGGCCGCGCTCAGCCTGTCATTCCGCCTAATCTCTATTTATATGTTTATAAACATGATAGCCTGAGGTCCCCAGGTAAACGAACGCCTGTTCGCGAACAGGGGTCGTAGCCCAACAGGGGTCGGGCTTGATACATGTTACGTATCACAAATATCAGAGATATTATGGATACACCAGGAAGGAGCACCGCTGCCTTCGGCGGCGCGCGCTTCGCGCGCGAAAAGTGGCATGCAACGTATGTCAAGGTCGGGCTACTGCCAAGTATCCATATAATTAAGAAGTGAACTATGAGACGCAAAATTCAAATGCTGCGCTTTTATGCTTTTTTGACGAAATATTTTGCAGTATTTTGTTAAATGTAGCTTTATCGCTCGGAAAATTTTTTTTTTTTTATCAATAAACTTTCAAATTGTTACACAAATACATCATTTTATTTCAAAGAAAATATCGCCGAATGACCTTACATGCCTTGACAAGTGACCGAGTGTAAACAAAATAAGGGACACCGAAACACCAGTTGACCAGTAAACTGATCATAGCAATTACATCGGGCCCTAAATGCACCTATAAGTGAAGCGATGCTGCAACCAAGGCATGCTAGGTTTATTCCATTGAACTAATAAGGTTACAGCCTAAAATATAAATATAATAAATAACAATGTACCATAAATCATAATTATAAACACACACACTTTATTTAACATATTTTATTAATTATACTTTTTATCAATTTATATTTAGACAATATAGTTACATTAAGGTAAATTGTTTAACTGTCAGAGGATGTTATATGGTCGTTTAGAACTGTCCAGAGGTACTTAATTAAATGGGTTTTAAACACGGATGGCCTTGAGATTTCCCTTAATTCATAAGGGAGTTTATTCCAAAGAATGTGTGCTCTGTAAAAGTAAGACTTAGAAATGCCTGAACATCTGGTCTGGCTTGACGTAAGGTTTTGTGGAACTTGAGGAGAAATGTCACTAATCATACTGAGATCGTCTAGATGTGATCGCCTTAACCTACTTCCCATGAAACGTCGTAAGTAAGGTGGAAATGTCACAACTGACATGTCATAAAAAATATTATGAAAATATAATATATCCTTGTAATCAAACCTCACCGAGAGTGGAAGGATATTTAGTTCCTTACACGCCATGAAATACCTAAATACGCAATCAGACTGAAATTTAAGAATCTGTTAGTTTATTAGTCTATAAGAATCTGTTAGTTTATTAGTCTATAAGGATGGCTGCAAAAATATTTAACGGGTGATACTCGTAAAATATCTGACATAACTCGGCAGCTTTTTCAATTCACATGAGTCTACGCGTACTTTGTAGGTTTACAACCTACCAGGACGCGCGCCGAGTAGGACTCGTCGACGGTCCAATATATGAAACAGATATTTTACGAGTATCACCCGTTAACTTAACGGGTGATACCCGTAAAATATTTGTTCCGTGTATCCTGTATCCAGGACCGTCGGTCCGTCGACGAGTCCAACTCGGCGCGTGTTGTAGGTTTACAACCTACCAGGACGCGCGCCGAGTTGGACTCGTCGACGGTCCTGTCGACGGTCCTGTTGCCTGTCGACGGTCCTGTCGACGGTCCTGTCGACGGTCCTGTTCCAATATATGGAACAGATATTTTACGAGTATCACCCGTTATATTAAGGCGCGTGTCCTGGTAGGTTATAAACATACAACCTTAATTGACGATGTCAATTCATGGCAGCTCGGCGCGGCACAGTAACGCATCGCGCTACAACATACAACCGTTAACGCGTACTACTATACTGCGTGACGCACAGGTCCGTATTGCCTGATTTAAATTACGGAAAAGCTTGTAGCGCGATGCACTACTGGGTCGCGCGCGCATCAAATAATGCTTCTCGAAACCACCGTATGCAGATCGGCGAGATGCGAAGGATTGACATCGTGAATCAACGGAAAAGCCAGCAGTCAGCTATCGGAATATAGCGGTTACACAGCGGAAGCTAGCGGAAACTAGCGGACGCCTAAAGGAGACGCGCTAAAATGCAGCACTCATACCTAGCGGATGGCTAGCGGAAGCTAGCGGACGCCGCGCGCAAACTAGCGGATACTAGTGGTGTACATTTCAAACAAAAATGATACATTATTCACAAATTTTGAAATGAAAATGAATTTCAATTTTTTTAGTTTTACCAAATTCAATATTGTGACTTCAATTACTACCCCAGCTTTAAACATTAAAGCTAATTTATTTTTACAAGTTTTACAATGCTAATATATTAAGGTAAGCCGCGCAAGTTATAAGCAAAACAATTTTTGTTTCCGCTCTGAGAATTGATTGTAGGTTTACAACTTACCAGGACGCGCGCCGAGTTGGACTCGTCGACGGTCCTGTCACAGTGCTGGCAAGCACGAGCGGTGTCTTTATTGGGGGTATACTATGCACCCCCTTTACTATTGTACCCCTCTACTACTATAACCCCTTTACTATTATAACCCCTTTGGTACACGTCGGAAGCCTCTTTCGTGCACGCGAAGCGTGCACTCCGGCCGGAGGTGGCGGCCGAAGGCCGCCGCCTCCGGCAGGAGTTTTTCAGGCATTAAGACTCATCGGAAGTCGTTCAGCAGATTTATTTTTAGTTCAAAACATTCTAATTTGATGTCAAAGATGACAGGAATAAAAAATAGTTATGTTGAGATTTTCAAGAAATTTGCATAACATACTCGCCAGCACTGTTATACGAAATTCGGTAAAAAACCCAAAATCGCCATATTCAGGTGCCTTAAAAACCATGTTAAAATTGAGTTAGAAATCTGAAATTTTTCAGGGCGTCTAGACGTTGACCAAATCGACTGCAAACAAAGTTTCAGGTTTCAGGAGCATCGGGAAATGGGTTTTCTAGAACCCCTGTTTTACGACAGATTGTCGTGATATATACATATATACATATATACATACATATATATATATTCAGGGATAGACGCTTTGCCAGTGAATTATAGCCTGTATTTAAGTGTCCGTAGATTCTAAAGTATAAAAGATACAGCCATTTCGGACCACAGGTCTTGAAGATAATTGTTTAGACTTTAGTTTACATTGTGTTAAAAAGTAATTCAACGTCATCATCACCACTTGATGACGTCATCAAGTTAACCATTTTTAAAACTTGATTTTTCACAAAGTAATCATTTTTCAAATCGATTTTACGCCATTAAGGAGTAATTTTATTCAAAATTTGAGGAATTAATGAAGTTAGATAATTGTTTAAGCATTCTGAAAATCTACCGGAAACTTTTTCTAGCTTGCTCCTTCATAAAGATATTCGCTATTGAAGTTAGTGCTTTTTTAAAGAATAATTTTATAAAAACGCTAATTTTACGTTCTAGTATTCTCTGGTGTTACACCATCCCTTGGGTTGTGGAGCTCAATTTTGCTTTTTAAAGGTCTAAATTGTGTCATAGGCCGTTGTGATAACAGTTCTTCAGGAAATACTTTGAAACTTTTCATGCTTATCAAACTATATATAAAATACCGCTATGCAAAAATTTACGGCGATTTAGTATTGGATGCGCACGCAACGTCCGCTCAAAGTTTGCACGTGCGAAAGGTTCAAATTTTGCTCATTCGTGATTTTGAACAAATTCTGCTTTGCCACGACAGTTCAATGTCATTATAAATGAATTTAATGCCAACTTGACTGAGTATAAAGTGGCATATTCAGTCAGTGATCGACCGATATGCTTACCTAAACACAAGGGAATGTTTTTAAAGGAAAAATTTCGAAATTGTTGAAATCACCTCCTTATTAATATTAATGAAGTTATGAGTTTACATTTGTAAAGTACCCTGACATTATAATCAAAAAGAGATGATATTTGACCAAAACCCATAATCATGGGTAGAGTGGAGCGCTGCCAGTGTCTCTCTTTCCCAAACAAAAGGCAATGATATCAATTTGAATGACCGTTATCAAATGCAAAATGATACCGAGAATGAAATCGGTCGCTCGCTTTTCCCATTCATTTACAATTGAAATAGATTACATGTTTATTATAAATCGAAACTTATTACAATTCGTAAGCCATGAATGAGTGGGAAAAGCGAGCGACCGATTTCATTCTCGGTATCATTTTGCATTTGATAACGGTCATTCAAATTGATATCATTGCCTTTTGTTTGGGAAAGAGAGACACTGGCAGCGCTCCACTCTACCCATGATTATGGGTTTTGGTCAAATCCAATATATGGAACAGATATTTTACGAGTATCACCCGTTAAAAAATATTTGAACAAGTTACAAGTGTTACCATTCCTATGGCTATTTTAGTAAACAAATTTCTATCATCGCCAGCAGATTGGAGGAAACCCCCGGCCGAGAGTGTGAGACTCCAGGAGTGACTCCGTCCGCTAGAGCATGGGAGGCGACACAGCTAGCTACGCTACAGCAATGACACCAGGACATGCTATATACTGTGTACTGATCCGGGCGCTATGACGCCAGTGTCCACTGCTAGGAGACATAGGTTATTGTTTAAAACCGCATTTTTTACATTTGATTTACCGGTTTGTTAATCCGTCAAGAATCTCCACCGGTAACACTTCTTCATAATACATATTTCTCATTATATTGTATGTAGGTTGACATGCATATTATTCCAAAATCAGGATGGACACAGACATGGCATCCACATCCCACCCAACCATCGACCCCACCCCACCCCACCCCACCCCACCCCACCCCACCCCACCCCACCCCACCCCACCCCACCCCACCCCACCCCACCTCATTATAGCGTGCAAAACAAGCGCGTCGACGCGCTTGTTTCGCACGCTATAATGTATAACTGCAAGCGAGAGGGCTTTGGTTAGAGCAATGTTGGTTCAGCCGAATTAATTGTTGTATATTCTTGGAGGACTTCGCCGCTTCGACGCGCCGCGCAAACTAGCATTCTTGCTTCGCTTCGTCGATCGTTGCTCTGCTTCGCAGAGCAACGATCTCGATGGGTTGACACCGTCAATCAATATATATTCAAGCAGCTTATTTTTTAGTTTAGTTATATTAGTTGTCATCCGGCCACATACTGCATATATATATCAAGTATGCAACTTATAGTATACAATTACAGATACTGCGTGCAGTACCATTTATAAATGATTACTTATGTATAAATACATTAGTAATAATATATCCAATATCAAAATAATGTTATATGTTATTGTAATTTTGCATGGCTCGACTATGTCTATAATGTAACGCTTGATTAATGTATATCAGTATATATAATTTTAATAATTAATTGAATTTTCACATTTCAACAAAAAAAAGAAGGAATTAAATCATCTAAGTTTTTCATTACACATTACAAATTTTATCAAATGTCCAGAAAACGTGTACTTATTCGATTTAAAAAGCTATTTAGTCGAGGTGTCAATACGTCACTTTAATAATATTCACTAACATTGAACATATCAAAAGACGAAAATGCAAACCTATCTCTTAATCTTATTCATTTGAGTGCGCCAGTCACCTAATATAAAATATTCTAGCCATCATTAAAGATGTAAGTACGTGAATCAAAATATTCACAAACATAAAAACATAAATCTATCTCTGATTCATTTTCAATTTTGAGTGAGCCAGCCACCTAACGTAAAATTCGATCCATCGATATTTGATATTTGTACAGCTTAAAATCATTAATTCATTCGCAAAATGTATGAACTTAAAATATATAAATATGAAATACAAACATGATTCATGATTGGATGTGGTTGATGCGGAGATATAGTATATTGTATATGCGGAGATATAGTAAATATATATATAAGGCGCGCCTTTTAAAATATACCATGATAAATTACAACTAAACCATAAACGAGAGCTAGAGTCCTTGAGCATATTTGGCAAACTTTAAAGAGTTAGAGTCTTCCTCCTGTCGCTCCCCATACAGCCTTAAGAATGTTTGCAGACCTTCTTTAACGAACGCTCTGTGGGATTAAATAATGGTCGTTAATTCGTAATTAGGCTAACTTATTAAAATATACGATTATCATCATTGATTTTAATTCTATTATCGTGTTGAAATTAATGGATGTACTGAAATTACTGACTCGTACATGAGAAAAATAACAAGAAATGGAATAAAATACATTAACGAACCTTAAATGTTTGTCTATACTCTTCCTTAGAGGGTTGATATATTTATTCTTAGGGTTAAACTTTTTCCATATCCATCTTGTGAATGACAATGGATAGTGAATAACGTTAAGCGGAACCGGCAGGTATTTGCCCTCGTAGTCTTTCAACAAACTGTACCTGAAAGAGAATGCGTTTTATATGCAATAGTATACTTCATATTACCGATACCACTGACCAGTATTCACTATAAGTATAACAAAACCAATTAAAAAGCTAGCAAACAGGATGGTCGAGGAAACACGATCATTTCATTTCTTTGGCCTATAATCAGACTATAAATCTAAATTTGAGATCACAATGAGCCAGTTACCTTTGGAATTTCCAGATGGTTTTCTGGTTAGAACTAATCTTCTCGTAACTCTCCGTGAACATAGCAATAAGAATGTTAAGCAACATCAGATTACTAATAATCATGAACATGAAGAGTAGGAAGAGAGCGACATAGTAGTAGGCTCCGTTAACATCACTATCTAGGTACCAAGATTCAGTCACGTTCGGATTGTTGGTCAGATAGTAAGCTCCGGGACTCTCCAGGTTTTCAAGGAACAACTCTCCCAGGCTCTGTTGGGATGAGGGTCACGAATTAAAAATTAATAAGACGAGAATGTTTGGTATTTTTTATTCCTGAATGATTAACTAGGCTCAATTATTTCATTAATTAGCTCCAAAAGTCAACAACGATAAACTAGACTTGTTAGCTGTTTTTAACGTGTAAAAAGTGAATACATACCTGGAAGTAAGTGTAATAGACCATGCCGATAACGTTTCTCTTCATGCTAAAAGTTCCAACCTCTACAAGCAAGCCGATATACGCAGCTCCAAAACCAAGAAGAACCACAGTGAATATCATGAAGAAGTTCACGAACGTTGTGGCCATCTGAGAAAGAGTTGACGCAGTTTTAAATACACATAAGCGACAAAATAGGAGATTTACCTTCTCAACTGCATCGCTATGTACTCTAATGTTTTTCCGCAGACTTTGAATGGGCTAAAAATCTAAAAATTTGAAATGTTCTACAACAAAACATCTCTCCTCTGAACAGTCCAACATTCATAGATTATTACCAGAGGTAATAATTTATACAGATAAGAACTAACCTCGAAGAGCATGAGCACAATAGGACCGAGGGTAAGATCACTGGTTATGAACACGCTCCATCTCAAGGACATTGTGACCGTCACAATACTCAATAAAATCCTACCCGCATGAACTTTCACAGCGTCGGAATCTTTACACACAGCCTTCGCAGGATCCCGGCAGTAGAGAGCTCCTGAATAGGTTGAAATCAAATGATTGCTTTGTCATATTATGCCATATCGAAAACTTTGCTTTGTTGAATACGCATTCTTTTTAATTTTGGGCATCTATAATGTAGAGGGAATCAGCAATAAGACCTACCGTCTGCTTTGTACGAAAGAGAACAATTTCCTCCATCATCGGTGCAAATGTACGCCATACATAGAATCAAACCAACAAAGAATATGAGGTAGTTCACCATATCGAGCCTGTTCCAAACGTTCTTCCACCAATAAAATAGTTTCTCGGTAAATACCTGTATAATCTGAAAGAGAGGTAGTGTTAGTTCAGTGAATTACATTTCCTACAAGCAGAGAAACGGTAATAAAAAACGTACTAGACTTAATAGGACTTAATATAAAGGGTTTAAAATATATTATATCCAAAAGTAAACAACCAACCTCGTCAATGACCAACAGACAGAACCAAACGAAAACGAGGATGATGAAGGGCCAACTGACAGTGTCTACTTCAGGATTCAAGACAGGTTTCGTATCCAAGTACAGCACTCGGAGGTGAAGTATTAGAAACACCAAGGAGAAAACTGCACTCATCCAAAACTTTATCATGGGCGATTTTCCGACTATCTTGAACCGAACAAAAATTTTGTCCCACCACGCTCGTTCATGTCCATCTTGATGACGATTTGCAAACACATCGAATTCAATGAGACCAGGAATTAGGATAAGAGGTGGGAAAAGACATATGAGAAGAACTTTCCAGAAACCTTCGTCTTTCACAAATCCTACTCTCCATCTTCTCTCTGAGATATCCTGACAAGCTGGATGCGCGATAAATCGTTTTGACTCCGCCTCAAACGCAAGTTCCAGATAATCGTAGTTCTTGACTCGAGTCCACCGAGAACGCGCAGCTGCAAAAGTCATTTCAGGGTTCTCAGCATAGCATGCTTCCAAAGTACAAATAGCCAGACTCTCAAACGCTTCCTTCATCTCCGAGACCTTCTCATCCTCTTCCGTGTTAACCAACACATTGTTCCTCTTTTCCATCTGTGACAGTAGCTTCAGACACAATAAAGCACATCTGATAGGCTCCTCAGATCTTTTGCAGAACATCAGCGCCATCTCCCTCCTTAACATCATGACAGACCATAAAGTGAGCTCCATGAAGGGGTCCTCTTCGCAACCAACAGAAGAATTAAAGGAGTCTCCTGCTAATTCGTTTATCAGGTTATCAATGAGTCTGATAGCTTGAGGGTTCCACATGGCCCCAAAAGAGCGCTCATCTGTCTCCTCACAAACCCCCTCATCAATACTTTCAGTTTCGTCGTAACGATATATTCCAAGACTTGTAGCGCCCGGAATTATACTATCACTGACCCAGTATGTGATGAGTCGTACTAAGTGACCTCCCCCGTAGGAATAGAGAGCACTGTCGTACAGCACCGGCATGTTGAACTTCAGCTGCAGGAGCTGAGACTTTTGACAGGTGTTCAGGAAAAGTTTGACCATCTTTGGGCGGTTCATGATGATTGCTTTCATGATTAGGTTGGTTAAAGTCTTTGATCGCAGTCGTTCAGCTGAGTCGTTCAGCATGCTTTCAACAACTTCAACTGTTCCTAGTTCAAAAGCGTATTCTAATTTCTTTCCCACCCCGGAGTCATTTTCGACCATCGCATCAAGAAGCAATTGATCGAACTCGGTCTTTGATCTTTGATCGTAAATGAATATTTGTGACAGCCGCTGTACACACACTTCAGCGAAGTCATACATCATATCCCAAATTTGCTGTGACACTCCTTCCATGGAAAGATGTTTAGCCATCTTTCTGGTGATGTGGATACAGGCTCTTAGGTCGGCTTTAAACACCCCTCCACTTTCAATACACTTGCACGGTTCTTTGGCTCTCTTTGTCTTTTCTTGTAGCTTGTCAGAAGATTCCAATTTCTTGTTGACCTATAAGATTATTTAAAACTATTTAACTGTTCGATGATATCGATAACAGATAGTAGATAACAGATAACAGATGGTAGATGTTTGACAACTGCTTCTATTTTGAGCATGGAACCGATAGTTATGAAGGCACTATTAATTAACCACATTAACTTCTTGAATAATCTTACCCAGATGCAGTGCTCCTTCAACTTTTGAATAAAGCTTGCTAATCCAGCACTTTTAGCCAGTACTATCACGGTATCGTCATCACATAGCCTCTGAGTTACCACAAACACAGACTTTAGTCCTCCTCTGTTCAGGACACTAATCACCGGAACATCCGCACTTTTCTTCATATGATTCTGAAAATTCAGATTTTAATAGCAATAAAGATTTTCACAGCTAAAACGTAAGTACGAATGGATGTATAAGTCCTAACACATAACATTAAACTTCACGCTTAGCTTTAGATAACTAAATTTATAGAATTGATAGAGCTACTGATTACTAAATGGTCAATGGCATGAGTTAACGGACCTCAAACTTTATTCTTAAATCTGTGGCAGCTTTGATGCAGCTAGAGACATCGTCTCGTCCATTGTCCACCATCAAGAAAGTGGTATGGTTTTGTTCCAAATGTCTAACATCAGTTTCCCCTACATTTGTGGGGTATGGGATGGTATTTCCGAGTTCGTTGGTCTGATCAGTCAATCTCTTTCGGGCCTGTGCAAGTTCTTTGTCACGATAGAAGTGGATATCAATAGCAAATCCTAGTTAAAATCACGAGATATTTCGTTCAAGTAATCTCAATAACATTGTAAGAAGTCTGGTAATGGTTATCTTAATTCAGTAACCCAATCTAAACTTACTCTATCGTTTAAAGAGGACCAGGCTACAATCCCGACGGTGTAGAGCGACAAACCGTAAGTCCTGATTCCATTACCCACGAGTTTCCCGCAGCCTCCGTTTACTCCAGGTGTAAACATCCAGGCATCACAGGCAGCAGCAGCTTTAGGCAGACACCTCTCTATCTCATCCTCCAGTTTATCTGACATCTCCAGCTCAGATGTGCTGCCTGGAATTGTAAATTAGCACTGTTTTGTAATGGTGTTTATTATTAAGTAAGTAAAGTAAACAGTTTTTTGGTTCAAGACATTTAAACAAGAGCCAATTTACTCGTATGTTCAGAAGATAAATATAATTATAAGAAAATATTAATCTGCATTCAGAAGATAAATATAAAGAATTTGCATTCGTACTTAAGTGAGAAGCCAGAATAACGAACAAACCTAAAACAGAGACGATAACACCAGGTTTCTTCATCTTGTAAACATTCATCAACAACTCCTCTATTCTCTTCATACTCGTGTCTTCACATAACCTCACAAAGTTAGCTTGGCACCCAGCCAGGGCCACCTTACCCCAAGTATTTGTCTTTACATCTTTGGTATGTCTCGAACTTGTCCACTCTTTAGACTCTGAAAATGCCTGGTGTTTCTCATCTTCCTTTGGTTTCCCACAAAAGCACAGTTGATCGCCCGATGGCCCAGCGAGACCCTTCCTATCAGCAACGTACGTGTTACAAACTTTGATTTTTATCTTGCCAATCATCTCTGGGACTCCCTCGTAATCTTCAGTTATCTGAATCCTTAGCGCTTTCTTCATAGAGTCCACCTCAGACTGAGTGATAAAGTGAATGTCTTTGACTCGCTTGACGTACAGATCAGTTTTCTCTATCCTTTCCTCGCGATTGCTCTCACACAAGTAGCTAGACTCGATAGTTCCGTACCGATTCAGATCAGTCAGGTTAAAGTGTTTAACTTTCCTTTTTCTCCCTCCAAGACTCCCAAGTGTTGTTTTACTCCCAACTGATAACTCATCCAACTCTCGGGTCCTGGTGGGAATGTCCATGCGATCCATTGGATATTCTCGTCAGGAACGTTTATCCTTACTTGTCGGTCCCTTGGTTTAGTCTCACCATTCTCTAACTCTCTCACCGGCGGCTCAGTTGAAACCGGTTCTTCAACAGGAGGAACAATATTTCCTAGTTCTTCATCATGTTGCGTGGTGTTACCTCCTTCTTCATCTGGCGGGACAATCCCAGTCTCCTCATCACGGGGTGAAGGTGACTCGTCAACAGGTGACATTTAACACCCAGATATCACACACTTCACACAACGTAACAAATAAACTATAACTAAGTACCGACGTAGTTTCTAGAAGAGATGGAGTGTGCACGTAGAATAACAGTGGACATTATAGTATTACCGCAAACTCATGCAGCTAAGTAACGGAGCAACGTTGACCGGAAGTCGTTGTTGTTTTACAGATAACGTTGGCTTGGGGTGCAGGACCACGTCGTGATCTGCTCAAGTTGTTACACGCCAATGACAAAACTAAACACCTGAATTTCTAGGCAAGTGTTTTGGTGTACATCTCTATATTCGTTGATATTTAAGATCATTTGCATTACAAAGAAAGCGAGATTCTGGCCGTTTTATACCCCTCCCGAGTCCCGTGTCCCCATTAGCTATCACATACAGCTATTGTATAGACACTATAATCGTAGGCATTTCTAAACCCCACCCCCTCTAAGCTGCCTACCAAATATCCGAATGATTATGGGATCAAAATGGGATTCGGAAATCTCATTAAAACTTAGAATTGAGTGTGATGAAGTGGTAGGGCCATTACCGATGTACACAAAGTAATTGTTCGGCCGGTTGCTGCAGGAGCAGTTGTAGCCCGGTCATTAAGCGATTATTGAGCTGAGTCTACCGTATACACCGATGAACTAAAGAAGAGGCATGAATAGAGAAAAGCTAATAAATATCATCTAAAATTTAACATTAAAATGGGTCGAACATCTGCATGATAATCCGTAAAATCCCAAATAAAACATACTGTTACTAAGCAACTATATTGATAATTTAGAGGACCTCCCTAAATTTTAAAAATCTTTGCAGAAGAAAGAAAAATGTGTTCACCTTGAAGCGGTTATAGTCCATTCCTCGTCTAACGAAACTTTATAAAACATCTCTATTTTCTTTATGGAATTGGCAAATATATTAAACTTCGTCTTGAGCACGAAGTGTCTTACTGTATTCTCTTCGGATGACATACAGTTCAGCTTCCGCTTAAAGTCAGCAAATACCGACTTACTTAATGCCCTTAAATCTTCACTAGGAAAGTGCGACTCTTCGCTCTTCACAATGGTTTCTAAATTCTCGAAACAGTATTCAACAGCGTATGGAATGAACAGAGGCTCTGCAAACGAGTTGACAAGATCAGGCTCAAACAGTGGGTGGGACGAGTCAGGAGAGGAGACTCTGGAAGAGTCGCGCGACTCCCCTGGAGGAGATGAGACACCGGACGAGACGTCCTGCTCTGAGGAGACTCCTACCTCCTGCTCTGCTGGTTTCTGCACACGTCTCGTGGCGGCGTATCCGTCACTTTTATACTGTTCAAAGTAGTGTGACGTCATCAGGTCTTGTATCTCTGACTGGGTGATCCATTGCAGGAGGAGGAGTATCCACTGGGGGGAGGTAGAGACCAGGTGAGGGAGGAGGATATCTAGAACTAGCTCGGGGGTCGTGTCTGAGGGAGAGGGGGTTTTGTTACTTTTAGTTTTGTTTCAACAAATCAAAAATAATACTCTGAATAATAATAATTGATGATATTGTTGATATTATACATTATATATATTATGTTATAGTCATGCCGTTATGAAATGTACCTTTGTATTGGTATTGTGTAATATCCAGTATAACGCTGGCAGCACCTCTCCGCACCCCATCGTCATCATCTTGAAGCAGGTTGACCAGACACCACAGAACTTTACTGACTTGCGGAATGTTCTCAGTACCCTGCAAGTAGTTTATTGAACAAACTTTATCAGCAATAAAGGAAGGGGGGAAAAGTGACAAAATACATTATTATCCACAAAATGCTCAGTTACCAAATTGTCGATTAGTGAATTAATTGGTAGGTAAATAGGATGTTTGCTAACAGTAATTGCATTGCTTACACGGCAGTCAAATTATCGAACCAGTTAAAATATCTAACTTACGGTGACAGTTGCTATGATGCTGTTGTAGATGTTTCTTAGGAAGTCAGGTATGAGGAGACGCTGTTCCCAGGGATTCAAGGAACTGCAGAAAGGATCTGAAAACACATAGAGATTAAAATGGTAGGGACATGCGTTATAAATAAGATTATCGTTCAGTCATACCTTTATTGGACTTGTAACCCATTTGTCAAGCGTTTATCGTTAAAGTTGGCTACTTATAGTTATAACGCGTTCAAACGAAGAACATCGAATTTATATTATTGTATTATTTCTGTTATTGTATTATTTCTGTTATTGATTTGTTGCGATAATGTTTGATTCGTTCGGCTTTGATTGTAAAAATGAGGAGTGGAGTAGCCGAGTGGAGTGGTAAAGACTCACTATTTTGCTCAATTTTTATTCCAATATCAGCAATTATATCGACTATAATACCTGCCACTGCCACAAACCAATAAATTGATCACCAATCAAGCTCAAAGAAAGCTCGCTTTAAAACTCGATTCACCAAGTCGCGATATCGATTCAAACTTTCAAATTCTGAAAAACTTCTTTAATATGTTTTTCTTCACGACAAGTGTTCAAACACTCCTGATTCCTGCATGCTAGACAAGGCTTGAGACTCTAATTATAAGATAAACCTCGTTACTTTCTACATATAAGTCAAATCATAAAAGACGACATCGTAGTTCAAATGATCAACACAGTCTAACTGTATTTATACAGTAAGTTGAACTATTTTAATTGTATAAATACAGTTTTATATTACTATAAGTATACAGTTGGATTATTTATAAATAATCCACCGCTTATCCTAGAAATAATTAGATTATACAATTTACCAGAAGCGCCGATTTACCATGAAGTTTTCGTACCAAGAAATAAGAATCACAGCAAATCGGGGCTTTGTTGCGGATAGCAAATAAATGAAATAAGCGTCTCCAGAACAGCAAAATACAAAATTAAGGTCAAATTTATTTGGATATTTTGCGAAATAAAGCAGTCTTAAATCTTATTTACATTTGTTTAAAACGTCTTAATGCACAATATTTTAAAATCATCAAATCAGACAGAGTTAATGTTATTCACAGTCACACACAGCTGAACTACTTCAACTAGTTACTTTCCGCCTAGTTATAACTATCAAATTGAAAAACCTATTCATCAAATCAATAACAACAACGTTTATCAATCAAGGAACACACTAGATTTTTTCTTTCCCGACAACTGTCAGCTGATAATTGTATTTTTCAATCATGCTCTCTCTCAATCATGCATTTGCCGGCGCCTCTCTTTGTTCAATGCGTGAGTATGGTAGAGCATCGGTTGTGGATGGTCTAGTTTTACATTTAGGAGCTTTTTTGGTCGAAAACCTCCGAACTGAAGCTTTGATCTCATTTTTCTCAGCTTCAATGTCGGGATCCTTTTGGAGCAGCAGGATAATCCTAGGAACGAACAAACAGACCAGGAACGCACTGCAGGTTACGAAGATGACGATAGTGCGGAGGAAAGCTCGGAGATAGAGGTGAGAAAGGTTATATCCGCTGAGAAACATGACACAACACAGCATGACAATAAGTGTAGCTCCAAAGATGTTGAGAGTTTCTCTGAAGTTGTGAGGGAAGCGCCGCATCTTGAACGCCAGGACTAGGGTGGCTATGAAGTAGAGCGTTGGCACAACTAGGGGGAGAGTAGTTAGGACCATGGACTTGTCACTCTTTCCTTGGCATATCAAGTAACGTTGTGAGTGATCAAATATTTGGGATTCATGGGATCTCCAGCCCAAGCCATCTCCGGTAAGAAAATCAATCAAGAGAAGAATCGCTACCAAAGTCAAAGTCCCAATGTTGAGCCAAGTTTGTCCGGCTCTTTTAAAGAACCCTTCACACATAGGTTTCCTAAAGCTATTAGCAGATACAAATATTCCATAGATTTTGATGCATTTCCAGAGAAGATTGGTAGTTATAATGGTGCTGCAGATCAACACGAGGGTGTATTCAAGCGAGCACGACCAGAGACTTGGCTTCAGCAGGGGTATGAAACTCGCAGCCATTCCCATGAGTAAGCCAAACAGTAACATGTAAAGATAGCCAGGGTCAGAAGCCTTGATGATGGGCCTTTCTTCATTCCTGAAAATGACAATCGATATCACTATAACAGCGACCGAACACACGCCGATGACAGGAGCTGCACAAAGAAATATAGTGGATGACGGAGTGATGTAATGGAGCTTTGTGGTGAGACATGTAGTATGATTACTGTTAGAGGTTTCCTCCGGACTACAACTGTGACAGGTGTTCTCATTGTATTCGACGGTTATCGAGTGGTTCCCGCATTCCTGACATGACCAACAGCAGGGTAGGTGAGCGATACGCTCGTCATATAGTCTGAATTGTCCCGGCTGGCACTTTGAGGAGCAGGTCTTCTGATAATGAAGTTGCTCTAGAGCTCCAGGATTTGTTATGTCTATTTTGTCCTGATGAATTTTACCAACTGTTTCGTAACTTTTAGTTTGAGCTCGGTATACTCCAAATTCGTAGTCTATGTTGACAGACTTGCTTTGAAATGAGACGTGCAAGTCGAGATCTTCATTCATGGTTACAACGATCGTTTGGTCCTCCTCTACAATGGAATTGAATACCTTCCTCCTCAATTTATTTGGGCACTCGCTGGGATCTTGATCATTATTTAATGTACGATGTAGTGACTGGAGGATTGCTTCGGTACCACTGCTAACATATTGTAACCAGTCTGTCCATTTACAATCTAATATACTGTCACCATTAAAGTCGACCACTGGGCAGGTTCTTAATTGGGTATCCTTGTATAATTCGTCCATCTTATCCTTGGATCTGGTCCAATTTGATGTAAGACGGGTTCTCACTATTCCCAAGTCTGTGTTCAAGAGAGGAGGAAGGGGTAAAACAATGGAGTAGAAGTTGTCAGATTCAAGAATCGACACGTACTCATCTAAAAATTTTTTTCGTCCATTGGAAACTCCAAAAATGTATACTTTCTTAGTAAAACCGAGCTCGGAGATCATATGAGTCAACATCTTTTTTGTGGTGGCGAGGCTATTTGATAAGATAAGCTGTACTTCTGATGGATCACCTCCAGTTTTGTTATAGGCCTCCTGAATTCTCGGTATGTCAATAGGGGACGTGACTTCTGCAAAATGGCCACATCCAACAGTTTGAACATAGTTTTCATAAATGTATGTGGCCATTTCCTCGGAGTATTTGTGATACCAAATATCAACGTACTTGTATCCCATTTCTTTAAGAAATTTAATAGTGATCTCTGCTTCAGTCTCTTCAGTCTCAATCATAGAAAAGAGAGTCCGATATTGGTTATCATCCATCATCTGCGCATCATTAAACATGTAGATGAAGGTAGGAATGCCCATGGAAGCGGTGATGTCTGCAGATCGTCTCATGTAATCTTTGCGATCCACACCCGATACTCCGATCACTTTCTCATTGGCTGATATAAGAACTGATACCCTGGTCGTTACCTCGAAATTCCTGCACGAATCGTAGATAATGTATCCAACTTTAAATCCCAACTCACTGCAAAAGGAAGATGTGTTACACTTACAACGGCTACAGCACTATTTGGATTAACGATAACAAATAGAATGATAATAGATGATATTTGCGTGGAGTAAGTATAGATCCATTAATCCAGATTTGCTAAGCTCTCGACGCGATCAATTTCTCAAACTTACTTAAACTTCTCGGAGTATTTCTCCACGACTTCACGAAGCATCAAAGCCTTCTGGATGCCATAAACCGAGATATCTTCTCTGGAACAATATTCAACATTTACAATCTCTCCGGTTGGAGATATTTCTTGACGTTCCATCATAGTACCAATGTTGAAGATTCCAGCTATCAGGTAATCACCATCTTGAAAAGCTAGGGGAGCGTCTATCTCATCAGTGTCGCAAGTTATGCTTGATGCTTGCGATAGGACAGAACGTAGTAGAAATGATAAAAGGAGAAACGTAATAGGAGTTTTCATCAACATCTCCTGGGAGTTTTTTATGTCGAATGCGGTGTTGAGATAAAGCAGATAATTTATCTGTATAAAACTTCAAACACAAACGGAAATTTAATTTAGCTTACTTTAAGCAGATAATTGTCTGTATGAAACGTTGAAAACAAACAGAGCAATTACTTTTAAAGATCAACGTGTTCAATTAAATATAAAATGATGCCAAAAACAATAAAAAGGAAGGCAATTAAAACCCTCAAACGATAGAGTTTGCAATTTGACGTTCGAGTCTTACAAACTTAGGTCGAGACAAACAATTGAGGGCTCAGGATAATATAATTATAATAGACGTAAAGAGCAATTGATAAGTGATATACTATAACAATAAATAAAGAAAATAACGTGACTGGTGATTAGCAACAATTTTAAGAAGAGGTACGATCAAATTTAGGCATTACTTATTATATATATTTAATACTAATCTGCTATCTGTCGTTTAAAACTTGAACAAATGCATGTCATATAATATAAACTTACGCTGATCATTATGATTGATGTACCAGCACAGCTGCCATTTTTTATGCACCACGTACAGGCGAACATAAAATCAAGACAGAGACTGGCATTTAATAAATAACAATACGAATTCAATACGGAACACAATAAGAGTTTTGTCAGTATTGCTATCCACGATTGATAATGATAACACAAATTATAGTATGATAGTGCTCAATGATTTCCACATTATTTTGGAACTGATAATGGTCCAAAACAATGTGGAAATTGTTTTGGAACATTACAATTGTTCCTCATCATCGGATGGATCAACTGATCCTCATTAACTTTGTTGTCAAACACTCTCTCATTTCACAAGTCGCGATGTTGGACGGTCAAGGAACAGAACGGTGGAGGAAACTTACTTTAAGCGGATAAAAAACAAAACAGAGCAATTACTTTAAAAGTTAATTTACCTCTCCGATTATAAGTATAAAATGAATGCCAAAAACAAAAGAAGGAAGGCAATTAAGTCCTGCAAACGGTAGAGCTTACAATTTGAGGCACAAGATTTACAAACTAAGGCAGAGACAAAAAAACACGTAGGTTAGAATAAATTAATGAGGCAATTGATGAATCATAACTCTGTGTGCGTGCTAGAGCTACACTGACTCCTTTGTTTCATTGGGCCAAGCCCTCAAAACCTGCACTTCTTCGATATTTCCTCTAGATTAAGTTATGGGACTAATGGCTAAGAGGCGTCTTCATGATGGGATAATGGCTCCTTGGCAAACAAGCAGTCCATTTACACAAGCAGCTCGCTCAACAGAAATCAGGCAGGTGGACCAAGTTACAAAATACTCTGCATAAATATGAATTAAATGACTCATGATTTGTGGGGCCAGGTACCCATGGAAGCAGCTAGCAGGCACCTCGAATGAGGAACCGATGCTTCCTGTACCTGGGTCCCTTGTGTGAGCTGCGCTTCAGGACCTGTGTGACACAGATCTGTACTTTAATGGTTGGAGAGATACCGCTTAAGAAATAGACGGCTCACAACGGGTTCGAGGACTCGTGGATGACCTTCATACCAATATCATGAATAATGAATACTACTTACAAGGTGGAAAGTAACTGACGCTTGAAATATGAAGTTTCCTCCTAGACATTTGTACCTCACAAAGAGAAGATAATGTGGTTATTCCAAGAAAAATGCAAGAACCTCTCAAATCGAACACATTAGGGACTTACAATCAGGTTCCATTATGTAAAATATAGTTATAGCATCCTTCATCCATAGTAATGAACCTTGTCATTACTTATACCACCATTACGAATCTCGCAATAGTTATAATTCGTAAAGAGATGCAGGGAATTAGCTTATATAACAGGGAATTAGCTTATATAGTCCAGGTTACCCTCCAAGGACCAAGTCCTATTGTCTTATTAATAATTATAAAGAGTTAAAGTACTGGTACCATCAGTTATAGGGTCCAATGATGCATATTACCATATTTCAAGATTACAAGTACCAGCAAATGCTATGATGCAATTACTAATTGTTAATTATACGCGGTTGAGATGTTGCGAATAACGTATGCCAAAGTTGTAGATTATGAGGGATAAGAATGAGACAAAGAGGGGCATACTACTTACTAGGGATGGGATATAAAGGGATTATAATTTATATGGGACAAGGGACATTTACGACGTGGTAGGGTAATTAAGATGGAATCACGTACCACACTGCAAGGGTTCAATTATTCGATGACATTTAAAACTGGAACTAGGGTATTATTAAAACTGTATCTGAATTCTGAGACCCTGTATTTTTGGCTATTAACATTCTAAATTTATGTGAACATTCTTAGAAGCCATCTGTACTGAAACTGCGGAATATTCTGTGATATAAACGAGGGGCAAATATCACTCCACCCAAATCCCATTTCAGTTGTATTCTGGGTTAGGTGCGGTGATTCTGGGGACTAATAAAGTTGGTGGCAGAAAACAATGAGTTGCAGCAAGTGAATTGCACGTATATAACGCTCCTTTCAGGACGGAACAGACTGCCGATACAACAGTTATTTAGGTACGTTTCAAGTTATAGTTGTTATGAAATTATCCCAGAATCTTAAAAACTTATACAATTACACAGAGTCGCGCATTTCATCACATAGAACTTTTAGGGCTCAGACTACCCATGAACCGGTGCAGTAAGAAGGTTAAACGGTGTCTCAGTGTCTGTAAAGTAGGGATGAAGTTATCTGATAAAATGCTTTAACAGCTGCGTTGTTAGTATGCAACTTATTCAAAACTTACAATTATAGGACGAAGTAACAAGTAAACTAAGTAGTGGGTTCCAAAGTGTATCGATTATGAATCAGGCAGTAAATTTCGAGAAAATAAAATCAAACGTGAAAATTAAATATTACCAAGAATATATCAAGAATCTTGATTAGATATTTCATCGCTGATCTTAATTGATTCACATCTCGGTCCCTAAAATCGAATTATGATGAATACAGTCATACACATTTATTGAAATTCAATCGTACAGCGTTCATATTTGTGCAGTAGAAATTAATTGAAACAAGTTTTTGCGGCACACACACAAAAAGTGTTAATAACAGGTAAAAACTAAAAACGGAAATAAATGAAGGTTAATATAGAGATGTCAAGTGCATTATTCAAAGCCGGGATTGAAATTTGATGACTGTAAATTATAGATAAAGAATATACACAGTCGTAAAATGTATAATACTCAAAATGCAAGGCTATCACAGTATCACTCGCTTCCAACCAATTTCACAGTTGGCCCTCTCTGATACATCGTTAACTTTCTCACCGCAGTTAAACATAAAAATGGAAAAAAACAAATATAAAAATAAATGAATAATGAAAACCAATATTTTCTCAAGGTCATCATACGTCAGAGCAAAGTGGTGAGAATATTTGACTGAGCGATGATTGCGAAACTCTCCAATTGTTTGAGACGAGGAATGAGCACATTCCACTTGCTGACAGAAACCTCTCTCACCTACAGACCAACATCTTACCGTCTAGCTCACTAGTATTCGTCAATGGACACGGTTCATTGTTTAACACCGGAAAGAATTGGCTTGGTGAATCTATGTGAATTATTCAACAATATAACTTCACAACAAATCAATGACCGACTAGTGTGAAAGAAATGATAATCTAATATTATCGTGGCTAGTGCGAACTACGGTAGTGCTGTGTTTTGTTGTAAATGGGGGAAGAGCGAGTCTAAGTCTATTATCATGTGTTAAGATGCTTATCTCCAGTAGACGGCACATGATGAGTAAGAATTGTTAATAATGTAATACCAGCCAACAGTAACTGGCAAATGACTGGCAATAGCTAACTTCTATTTGATATAATATATTATAGAATTTATTAGTTCAAGCTAAGAAGCTAAGAAGAATTTCTTTATGGCATCCCCAGCCCCCTATTGCACAGACGTTAATCTCGGCAGGTATGGACCGCTAATAATAACAAGAGTTACTTCAAAATTTTAACACAAACAATTTAAACACACTTTTGACTCTTGCCAGTTTTATTTAATAATGCGATCAAATATTATATTCCCTATATTAAACACTTCACCCATCAGGACAGTACCAAGTAGTCTAGACTTTAGACCATATAAAGTTTTAAAAAGCTTAGCTGCTTAGGTTTAAGGAAAATGAAGAGTGGTTACATCAAAATGGCCAGTCAGAACTCAGAATTAAGAGCTTTACTTTTCAAATTCTACAGAGTACAGCAAAAAATGATCATAAAATAAAACAGTTCAAAAATATTGCCTCAGTTGTAAAATATGATAGGCACTCAAACACGGCCCGGCGAACACGGTAGCGAACTATGTGTTTTTAGAGAACCTGGGGTATTACGAGATATAACATCCCGGAGGGTACTATAATGTGTAATGTGTAATGTGTTTGGGGTTGCATAATGTGTAATGTGTGGTTAGGGGCCGAGTACTTATCTAACAACCTACTGCAGAGTATCTCTCTAATCTCTGTTAGTCTACTACATAGATCCTTAGTGACGTAGATATGAGATATCATATCTGTTTAAAATTATCCGTGTGCTGTGGTTTATGGTATGTCCGGGCCATTTTGGGACGATGTATTGTCCAACTAAAGTCCAAACCGCAAACATAATACATTAGAGGGTATTTTGAAATATCGAACATCTTTAGGGGGCTGACCTCTCTACCTTTAAAATATAAACCCAAAGAACCTGAATCGATTACGGCGATAAAATATTGTTTTTTGTGATAAAAGATGCTGGGACGAAGTGGAGGGTGGTTATCTTTATAACATCTTGGAATTAGTCTAGTTGTTCGTGTTAGTAGATCATAGCAACAATACCCGCCTGTATAACTCATGATCAACTAATAAACCTGATAAGTAACTGTTTAAATGGGCCCTATACAGATAAGTTCCAAGTACGTCCTAAGTCGGTGTATGGACCATGATCAATAACTGACACGAATGAACAATTGAGTCGAGTA